TTTTAAACTAAGGCCAAATGTCAAATTTGTATTTATGCCTTTCGGATTAAGAATATAAACGGATTTCATGTACGTATTAAAATGTAACATTTTGACAAATGGCAAGAATGTGAAAATATTGTTTTATTCTGGTGACAAATCATGGGGTGTTTTACGTAACCTGTTGTCTTTTGATCGCACAAACCGAGACAATTCAACACTGCTTTAAAAACTATACAGACATAAGTCATATGCTACTTGTTTGGATTATTTTTTGTTATATCAAAATATGTTTATAGTCCGCATATATATCAATGCTTGCCAGTAATTTCAGAGATAAATACTGTTTATTAGCATGGAACATTTGAATCCTCTCTCAGAGGTCTAAAGTTGCTCATGTCTGATTTAGAATGTGCAGAGTATGTTGTATACAATATATGCAGAAAATGTGGATTGCAACACAGTACAGAGTGGCTGTGTGCAGTAAATTAAAAGTGTCTGGGCAATCGATATTTTTTTTGTCATCACCATCAGCCATGGTCTCTCCACTGCTGGATGAAGGCCTCCCTACACATTCGCCAAGTCACATTATCCTTGCGATGCTAGAAACCATGTCGCCCCTGTACAGGAACTGAACTCATAATGCCATCTCTGCAGTGGTCATCCTCTCGAGGTGCATTCCGTCAGGATTGTTTTTTTCTTCCGTTGGCTGCCATTCTTATACAAGTCTCATCCATTGGCCATCAGTGCTTCTAGCGATGTTTCCTGCCCCATTCCGCTTTACTCAGCAGTCAATGTGATGTCTCATATTAAACGTTTTTGGGTTAGATCGCGTTATTTATAAATTTGTCGTAACCCTCCACCACTCGACACGGCCAAATCAGCAAAATAAAGTGTCACGTTGACAAAAGACAAATAGTTCACTACTTTAGCCCACCGGTGTGTTGAAGATGAGCCCACAACATTTACAGTTTTTGAGTACGACGTTTCGCTGGTAATCACATCCAGCATCATCGGGCAATTCGCCAGAATGGTGAAGCCCTCTCTTGTTCCCGGTCTTAAATAGAGCAGCAGGGTGACGTCATCATTTAACTCATTCAGGTGCAGTGATTTGAGGCGGGGGGGGGGGGGGGGGTATTGTAATTATATAATGCTGATTGGCCGTGTCGGGTTGTGGAGGGTTACGACACATAAATAACGCGATCTAACCAAAAAACGTTTACTATGAATAATATTGGTCGCGAAAGCCTACGTGTTAAACTGAATGTGATGTTTGATATTAATGTCTTAATCCATGTGTTCCTCTTGCTGTCTCTCACTGTAATTCCCAGCATCCATCTCCCCATTCATCGTTGCGTGCTTTTGAGGTTTTTTTTTGTTTTTGCTCCATGTGTTTGTTTTTTCTTTCACGTATAGTGGCAGGGCCATATACACTGCTTGATGGTCATGTATTTAAAACAATTTGCGCAATTCAATATAATTACCTGCCTGGGAAGCATTCTGCTTTTAAAAATGCGCACCTTTCACATAAGACCACAGGTGATTGTTGAAGCCAGAGTCAAAGAGAGGGGTGGATGATGTACTAATGAAAAAGCTGACAGCAAATGAGGGGATAAAGACAGAGGTTGGACTGCTACCTCCATTGCGGAAAGCACAATCTGCTCACCTAAACCTATTAATATTGAGCCATGAGACAAGCTTTGTTGTGAAATATAACGATGATAATGCTTAAACAAATCCAATAATGGTTAAAAAGCGGGGATGCAGTCTATATTAACAAATGGTGAAGTGCAAGAGATGTGGTTTACATTGCACAGCAAAACAGAAATTCGCAGCCTGATTGGATAGCGTAATGTTTAGTGCACTTATCTTGAGGTGTGTAACGATAATATCCATTGATCTGTTAATAGGCATTATTTGGCCAATGATGCATACCTCTAATGGCTACAGGGGTCATGTCATGATCCCTCCAGTTACTTGAGTCCTTCACAGTCATCACAATATAAAAAAATAATAATTGGTTCATGATTAGAATCACGGCTATGAATTGCGACGGAGTGAATTGCTACACCCCTACTTGACATCCAACGCTTTGCATCTGGTGGATGACTCAACTCGTGCAGCTGCCCAGTAATGCTGGGAGAAGTTAACTATTTGCACAAAAGGAGACACTGAACGTTGAACAGCATCATTAAATTAAATGTTCTTTATTCTTGGTTCTTTCGGTAAAGTCACGTAGAAGGGAAACAATAAAAATATAAAACAATAAAATTCTCACGACGTTTCGACTGCAGCACAAGCAATCATCATCAGGTGTGAAAACCACATCTGAACAAACTGTCAAATCGCTATCCGTGGTGCTAACGTTAAAAAAACGCCACTTTTTTCAAATTTTCTTGTTGTGGTTTTCACACCTGATGATTGCTTGTGTTGCAGTCGAAACGTCGTGAGAATTTTATTGTTTTATATTTTTATTATTTTATTGTTTCCCTTCTACGTGACTTTACCGAAAGAACCAATAATATGAATCCCTGCAGTCACGAAAGCTTTAAATCAAAATTTAAATGTTCTTTATTGATGTTTTGAGTGCTCGGTGAGACCCATGACCCATAATAATGATTTACAGCTCTTTGTCAATCCATTGCTGGATAAGGGCCTCCACACGCTGTTGATCATCAGAGTTGTTTTACCTTACTTCACTAGGCTGGTCAGTGTGGGTTGGTGAAGAGGGGGCCCAGGACCGTTTCAGACATAATTCGTTGCTGATGTTAGCCGTGGCTTGGAATTGAACGTAGGTCTCTGAGTTCATCGCGTAATGTGCTAACGATTGCACCATTGTTCCTCTAATATTAAGGGCAATTACTCACTCGAGAAAGCCTCAATAACTCTCAAAATAAAATTTTCAACAAGTATGGCCAATGCTCTAAATGACTGTTAGGCATCTAGGCGGAAACTATAATCTACCACGCATATGAAGGCATAACACTCACAGCTCTGTACAGATAGGTTGAACATTTATTTGTTGTACTGGAAACACACAGCTCAAGCCTACGACAGCTAGGATTTCAAGGCAATCCCTCATCCAAGTACGAAGTAGACTAAACACAGCTTAGTTTATGATATGTGAGAAAGATCTGGGTAAATTTAGGATGATTTTAGTTATTCTCGGGCCAAGAGAGACTTACGAATATCTAGTACGTGAGCGACATCAGTGTTATTTGCAAGTTGTTTTCATGTATGGAATTGGAGCTAACAGACACACAACGGCATACTTGGTAATATTGAGTATTTGCATATGGCACAGCCTTTAGTCTTATGCATAATATGCAGATGTTTCTTCTAAAAGAGATCCTGGGTCAATTTCATATGTTCATAAAGAAGCAGCTTTCACATATGGTTGGTGTAAAGTGACCAAGCGATGTTCAATATGGTTATATATTTTTTTGCAAAACCAGTAACCGCATGATGAAACCGTTAAAACCCGATTACCCATTTTTGTCCCGCACACATAGATATGCCTGGCAATAAGTATGTATGTTTAACTTCTTTCACACATATGTAGCCAACCATGTTAATTGGAGGTGCGGGGAAAGGACAACAAACTAAACACAAAAAGAAGTTCTAAAGAAATGAGTTTACAATTGAGATTTAAAAGTTCCAGTGGTTTCCTAATATCGGAAGAAAGAGCGTTCCAGATGGCCGCAGAAGCGCATCTGAAAGCGCATCTGAAAGCGTGCAATGTAGTGACTGTCTTTGTTCAGTGGTTATCCAAAAGCTGCTGCAACGATGACAGGAGTTTGCGTGATGGTTTATGCTCCTTGACATCAGCAAGGTATCGTGGTTCATTTGCGGTAAGAACTTTGTGTACAATGAGTGCGACCTTGTAATGTATTTGTTCGGCAACTATAAGCCAATGCAGCTCAGCGGAGCACCGGACGGACACGGTCGGATGTTGCAGTACCCGTCACGACATGTGCCGAATAATCTTGTACATGTTCTAGATTCGGTAACACGACAAATGTAGGTTGTTAGCTGATAAATTAAGGGTGCTGGCGGGGGGTGCGATGGTTCGCGCACTTTGACTTGAAATCCAGAGGTTTCTGGTTTTAATTCCATCTCCCGGTGCGGCGGTTGGAACGGTAGGGCAAATGTCATGCGCTCTGTACTTTATTTTGCCTTCGTTGCAAAAAACTCCACGGGAATCGGTCACTGAATTCTTCTGCCCTTTGGGACCGGTTTATCAATTGTGAAACGGTTACCAGTGTACCGGTGATCACTTGAGAACCCTAATATTAAATAGCTGAAATATATCTTATTTTTCTGCCAGATGCATACAAGAACCTTCATTTTTGTTATCACATGAAATGAGACTCATTCTGCTTTGAAAACCCATCTCTTTAAACTGGCGTTCCCTCTTTATTTTGGTCGATTGCCCTGGTCCTGTTTTTTTTTTCTGCTTTTCATGCATTGTGCATTGGGATCCTAGGATGGAATGCGCATTATACATTTGAATTATGATATCAGTGGCAGCCTGATTGGATAGCGTAATGTTTATTGCACTTAAAATAAATTATTTTAAACGCAATTCATGGTGAAAATGTATCATTTAAATGATCGTCATCGTTATATTTTATGAAGCACCTAATCACACCAATGTATCTCAAAGAACCATGACACACACATTACACATTTTACAGAGTGATTCACAATAATAATCTTCCCGTGGGCCATGTTGCTATAACTCTGTGCCTTATACCTGCCATTCTGTTATCACATGAAATAAGAGCTATATAAATGGACACTCACCTGAAATAAAATATATTAAACACAATTCACGGTGAAACATTAATTTAAATCATCCTTATTGTCATTTTACGAAGTACCTAATCACACCAATTTATATCACAGCCCCCATAGCACACACATTGCACACTTTACATCGTGATTCACAATGAGTCTCCTCTTCCAGTAGGCCATCTTGCTATAACTCTGTGCCATGTACTTCTCTCCTGTGCCTGCAGTCCCCATCCCCGCTTCCCAATTCCCCGCTGGCCTTGACAGCACGCTCTTCCTCACCCGTCTACACCAACCTGGAGGAGCTGAAGCTGGTCCAGGGCACAGACTTCCCACCCACGCCAACGGGGGAACCCATCGTCACCTCCGAGGATTCATGGGAGACGCATCTGGACGAGAGCTCCAATCGCTTCTTCTACCGGAACTTGCTCTCCGGCGAGATGAGCTGGAAGCCCCCTCGACGAGCCAGGGTGAGATATGTAAACCCACGCACACAAAGCTGAAGGTGGATCCCATCGTTTATAGCGTTGTTGACTGTAGCCACATTTATATTCATCATGTCACATACTATTATGTGTCCAGCCTATGGCGCATATGTCTTGCTGTAGAGACACTGGTGGCCGCACTCTGCAAATGCAGAATCTCTGCAAATGCAGAAGTAGGGTGACCATTGGAGACAAGTGTGTTTGCCTATTGCTCATTTGAGTATTAAGAAGTCTGACTGTGACTTGGACACAATACCACATGGTACACGCAGAGATCTCACAGTTTAGCCTCGCAGGCTGTCACAGCAAATGCTGTTAGCAAGTGTGTGAGTGCACACACACACACATCCCTCCGAATTATATACATCTAAATAATAATATTGCCATGGTAGTTGATACAGATGGCAGAACTTTAATGCAATCTGCAAGTTTGATTGTTTAAAAAAAATGTAGAATTAGGCCATTTGTAATGGAATTACCCAATAATTACCCGCCAAGTGACAGTAATTTACAGTTGATTATTTTAACGTTTGCAAAATAGTTTTTTGAATGAAAAAAATAGCCGGAACGCAGATCTTTGATGAAATGTCGTTCTATTGCTGAGGGGGAGGGAGTTGTTTAGCGGTGGTGTTGAGAGAACAGTGCGTGGCTTCACAGTGAGAATTTGTGAGACCACCAAGGACATATGGGGTCACAGGAATATTTGATTCTAGATTTGAAGCTTTCGTGACTGCAAGGATTCCTACTCTTTGGTTTTATTCGGTAAAGTAACGTAGATATAATAAAACAATACAAGAAAATAATTTATTTACCCACTCCCGTGCAGTGCGAAGTGGTTGTTACCCGCAGCAGCCTATCAGAAGGCTGCTTCACCCAGCCCTCCCACCCACCCACGCCCCCTTACTGACTCCTCCCCCCTCCCTTAACCTGTATATAATCCCTGTTGTCTCTGAACTGTGCTCCTGACACAGATATTCTGCGTTGACTTTTCCACCTGAAGACGGAAGCTTGTGTTGCCTCTGAAACGTCGTGATTTAATTATTTTCTTTTATTTTGTTTTATTATATCTACGTGACTTCACCGAATAAAACCAAAGAGTAGGAATATTTGAGCTTGGCTTATAGTCTGCTTAAAATATTCATCCCTGCAAATGCCGATTATAATTACGAGTACTGTACAAGCATGTGATTGCTGTTAGAATATTCATATTTAATGCGTGGCAATTGAACTTTTGACAAATAAAATTGTAACCGTTTGATATAATTCACTAATTCGTTGAACAATGAGACTTCTGTTGACTTCGAACAGCAGTGAAATTGCGTTACTGCTGAACAGACCCTGAAGATGATCATCCGAAGATGTTTTGTGTTTGGATTTCATCTCTGCTTATTTCCTCAAGGCACTAATTATGCGCCATTTGTTTTGCTGTGCTGCATTTTATTTTGGCCACATTACAGCAGTGAACAGTATAATGAGCATGTTGGCAAAGATGTGCTCTTAACCTGTAATTATATCATTGTGTTTTAATCACTTGTGCTGCATACTGTTACGATGCCGAGTATTCATAAATACACGTGGATCAGCATTGCATATGATGCACATGCGAAGCTAGTTTTGAGAATAATGTGGTGCGAATACCTATGGCTGCAGCAATACATCAGTTAATTGATTAATACCAATGTTAAGGCTCGTGATACGTGCACATAATCACAAGTGTATGTAGGGATTAAGATTTTTCTTATTAAACTGAATGACAATGATCTTATCTTTTATCTTATCAAGATTTTATGAGGACGGTAAAGACGATGGAAATATTGATCCTCGAATCAAATCTCATCCTTGAATTGCAACAATTCATTGACTTGCTGGGCTGCAGCCTAACATTCCACTGTGCTGAAAAACAAATAAGCCCCCCACTTGGTGGGAAGTCAATAGCGGTTGTCTTCCTGTGCAAAGGGAGAGAGAGAGAGAATGGCCTTCATAATGGAACTGCTATTTTCACTCCTGGCTTAGGGCCATCAACACAGATTGCATGTTTGAGCAGTTGGAAACTTTGACTTTTGCACTGCAATCGAAACATGTATATATATGTGCATGTTAAACAAGCACAATGTTTATTGTTTTGGTGCCGACGATTATGATAAATTATTGTTAATACCAAAATTAGGACATTGTTTTCTCTAAGGAGCATTGAGGATCATTCGAGGTATGCACTTTCGCAGATGATTTGTGTCATATATTAGCGTGCATTCATATTGATTAGATTCTACCAAAGCAAACACATGTATACATGTGTGTGCAAATTGTATAATACAGTAATGAATGAAATACGACAATTAATGGCATGGTGGCATTCAAACGCCCAGTACTACGTTGACTTCTGACAGTTTGACCCAGAGATATGTGTACCTATTCATCTCGGAGACATTTAGCTTCTGCAAGCGTTTTCGTGGTGCCATTCAAAGTCACATGCGCACATGCTTTTACTCATTTATCATCTGCAATGGCGAGGGTGCCCTATTCACAATCAGAAGGTTGCATAGTTCCAGTGCTAATCTAATGTCGACTCACTCAATGTCCCTCAGAGGTCGCTACGTGTGCGCTCCGAAGGAACAATTGACATGATAATGCCGTGCTAACATTTTACATCAATTGCATTGCGTGCTGCTCTTTATGCAACTGTTGTTGAATACACAGTATTACCTAATAAAATAATTACGTGTTCATTTTATAGGCACTAGGGATGACCTTTGGATTCAAAGAACATCGGATCTCTAAGGACAATTTGACAATGTTTTAAATTTTTTTTAAGTCATTTATAATGTGCACTAATTTCTATACGTATGCACACTAATAATAGTGACATCACGCCGATTACTTTTGGCTGAAGGAGCACGGAAGTGGTGTCGTTTTTTGGGCTCAATCCAAAGCAAAAAGTAATTCGGATCGTCCGAAATTTCATTTTTACGCTAAATACTCAGAATAATCATAAAATCCACAACACATCTCTCATATGCGCTAAATAAATACGAGTACTAAATAATATACTAATATTCACTTACTTACATTGCTGCTAAGGTTGATAACCCATCTAAAATTAGTAAGTTTAAATCTGCATTAACTTTAGTTGCATGCTAATTTCTCACATTAACATCACTAGCCCTGGCCACTTCTTTATGACCCTTGGGCTACACCCATTTCAAACCTTAAAACAGTCTGCCTCAGCAGCAGACCATGCTTTCCCACATGATGACGGATGCTTGTGTTGCACCCGAAACGTCGCGATTTATTTTATTTTATACCTACGTGACTTTACCGAAAGAACCAAAGAGTATGGATTCCTGCACTCGGGAAAGCTTCAAATCAACACAATTGGTATTTTTTTAATATTGAAAAACGTAACATGTTTTATTTTTATGATTATTATTACAGTGTTTAGAACTGTCACTGAAATCCTAGGTTTTTCTTCTCAACTCAACGGTTGAGGGTCATTATTTTTGTCCACATCACCGCGTGCTGCACGTTCCATTGTGGCACATCAATTCAATTGGTCGACCAGCCGCTCTGCGTCTGCTCCAAAGCCTTGGCTGGTAACAATGGCAGGAACTCAGGCAGAGGAAACGCAAGGAGAAGGGGTACATTTTTCAGGCCTTCCTCTCCCCAGCTTTCCTTGCTCCCCCCCATCCCTCCCTGATGCCCCCCAACCCACCTCCGGCTTTTTTGTTTTTTTTAATGACGTGAAAGTGCGCATTGCGCCCACGTCTGTCGGCCCATCTGGGGCGTCTATCAAAACTAAAATGCGCCGATGAGGCACCTCCTCCTCCGTGGCGGTTGGGGGGCATTGTTAACGTGTGGGAAAATAGCGGGAAGCAGACGTGGTGATTTGTTGGAGGATGTATACTCTCTGGAGAAATCCTAAGAGCTTTACGGGTGAGAGCGGTTACATTTACAGGCTGAAAACGATTGCGTTAAAGGCAGCGGGCTCCCTACGGAATAAAACTTATTTTGCGGATTATGCCTTTTTGCTGCTGCTGTGTCTAGTGAATGGGTGGGTTTTTTTCAGACGTTCGGTGCAATTTCAGCTCAAGTCAGGGTAATCGGACCATTGATTCACTACACTGGAGAACCCGTTTTCATCATGGGCACCTGCACCCAGAGTTGAACTCAGCCTCTTGGTGGTGCTGGCTCATTGCTCTGATAACAATATTACCCACTTGACACATCTGATCATGATTTCAGGAATATCCTATTCGTTTTTGACAGGACACTTGACGAAAAAAAAATTCACACGTATAACAATCTGCAATGACAATGCTGAAAGTACTTTGCCAAACTATATTGCGCCAGGTAATGTTTTTAATAGAGTGTGTGTCTTACGATTGACAGGTCATGAGTTTAAATGCTGGCTGGGGTTGTCAACTCAGGTTTGGTCTCTTCACAGTTGATGAGATGTGCAGTAGTTGGCTTATGGAAAAACTGGCCCCAATTGTATGGGCCAGAAATGGATATAAACACTGCCCCGTACTGGTTTGAATGAGGACACTCGCACTCTTGATTTGGTCGAATTAAGCATGCAAATTGAGGCTGGAAATTATTTGCAGATAAATAGTAATAGCAACACAAACGAAAATGTAAACCAAGCACAATAACGAGTGCATAAAAATTATAGGATTGGGTGCAGCGGTGATGCAGTCCGGCCACTGAAGTTTGATTCCTGGTCATGGCTAATATCGTTGGTGAGTGATATCTGAACTGAGCCCCTTACACCCACCCGCAGCGTCTAGTGTGGTGAATATGGTCGAACCTCCTGTGACTGACAAAAGCATGCATAGGCCTTCATCCAGCAGCGGCTTGACAAGAGGGCTGTAAAAAAATCATTGGTTCATGCGATTCAAAACCAAGCATATGCAGTATGGTACACACATGTTTAGAAGTGTATATCGAACAAAACATAAACTGACAGGACCATGTAATTACAATAGATCCAAATTGATTAGAGAAGAGATTTATTGCATGACGAGTAAACTATACACTATTTAAACTAAACTTTTTTTATTTTACCAGGCAAGGCCCACTGAGCTTTATAGTTTTTTTTTCAGAAGCGACCTGGCCAAGAATGATAGCTCAACGACGTGGCTTATCATGTGGAAATTTATAGCAGCATGTTTCTGAATGTGGATGGAAAAAACGGAAAATCCAGAGAAAAATCCACGCGACCACGGGGAGACCATGCAAACTCCAAATATATATAGGCGTCAGGGTCAGGATCGAATCCATGACCTCCAGTATACCAGACAAATTAGTAAACGTCTGTGCACCTTGGTGTCTGTACGGGGGTAAGGGAGAGGGAGCCTGAGATGAGAGTGGATTATACCTGTTTAACGTAGCATGTAGAAGAGAGGAATTGGCATTAAAGATGACTGTGGTTTAGATCTTTGTGGGAAGGAGCAGAGACCTTTACTGAATAGAACATTAATAAATCTGATAACCAGTGGCAAAATTGGATTTTAAGTTGCAATCTGTGGCTTTGAGTCATTTGGTAAATATGTAAATGCTGTATTTTTTATTCATATATGCCTCGCTGAGCCTCAACGCTATTATTATGTTAATGAGGAATCCTACAATGTGATGTTTATCCTACAATGTGATGTTTATCCAGAAGTATTTACAGGTGCAATAGAATGAGAACTGTACTGCGGTGGCTGTATTGTGGTTTCTGCCAAATCTTCATTGAAATAGGGAAACTTTAATTTGTGACTTATAATTTCTTCATAATGTGTATTTTTAAGCAGAAAAATGGTTGTATGCAGACCCATTAAAATTAAAAGGCAGACAATAATGTGGATAACGTTAGTTTGATCACTAGGTTACATCGAATCTGACCGTTGATAAAATATGTATATAATAGCCTGGTTCGAATGCGTCAAAAGAAGACATGATGTCGGGTGGTCCAAACTAACCTTCAGAATGGTAGCCAAAGGAGGTGAATGCACCTGAGAGGGTGTCCACCATAGAGATGGAGCAACGACGCAAGCTCTTGTTCAGGCGCTAAATGGATTTCTGAGGAGGCATGCATCCGGCGGTGAATTAATCATGACTCGATGATGATGATGGTGGTGATGATGAAGTGTACTGCCCTGCATTGCTTAATGTGTGTTGATTTCTTTCTGCTGTTCTGCAGCCTCCGACGCCCCCGCCAGACTACAGCCCGTCACAGTCGAGCCTCGCAGCGGCGCCCCAGGCCATCTTGCCACCTGGCTGGCAAGAGGAGATGGACGCGAAGGGAGAGATCAGCTTCACCCACCTGGCCAGCCCTGACAAGGTGACTCTGGGCTAGGAAGCTTTAAGTTATAGTAATAGCTTTTTACCCTTTTATCTGGCACCAAAACTGACACCTTTATACAAAGGATCATGTTTGCAATAACCACAACACAAGCAGTCAAAATGCAAACAAAAAGAGACAACTCTGATAATGGTATGCACTGTCCTTGAAATTGATTGGTCCACACCCGAGACGGCTTTTCTTAGAGCCTAGTCTCCACTGGTGTTGGACCAGATGACGCCAAAAGGCATACAACTCAAAAACAGCGCACTATCAGAGTATTGAGAGCTCGGGGTAAGCATTTACATTATGAGACCTTTTCCAGTAGCAAGATATAGTAATAGGTTTTTACCCTTTTATCTGGCACCAAAACTGACACCTTTATACAAGGGATCATGTTTGCAATAACCACTACACAAGCAGTCAAAATGCAAACAAAAAGAGACAACTCTGATAAAGATATGCACTGTCCTTGAAATTGATTGGTCCACACCCGAGATGGCTTTCTTAGAGCCTAGTTCTTACAAAGTTCTACATTCCTACCCATCCAAAACATTAAAAGTTATGGAGGCTGTTATAATCATAATTACTCGTGTTAAAGGAGGGTGAAATTTTGGCATGAGAAGTCTTATTATTAGCAGTTTATGCTTGCATAAAGAAAGGTTTCCAAAATTCAGGAATTCTACGGTATATTTACGTATGTGGCTTACTTCTCTCGTGCACATTTGGGAACTATTTATATTGTAATCCGAGCCATATGAACAAAACCTCCTCGACCGCAGGCTGCAATACTAACCTACCAATCAACGATGATCTGAACAAAATCCTCATTCCACAGGAAAAAAAAAATGTCTGGGTAAAGCAAACTTCAGCATCAAAACAGCGTGGATCGATTCGTGGGCTTCAAGCAATGTGCTTTAACAAACACCTGGCCAGCGAGTCCACCACAACCACACTGGCGGCTTCCACCTTCCATGGAAATAATCGAGAAATACGAAGGAGACATCACAGCGATGCACTCCGCTGCTCCGGACGTGGTTATTTGGCTTCACCACCTAAATGTGAAATTTTAATTGTTGCTCTGCATCTACATCAGCCATGCGAATGTTTGGCAGGTTTGGTTAGCTTGTGAATGGTTCGGTTGACGGAGTGTTGCAGCATCCCGGCGAATATCTGGCGGTGCGATATTTGCCAGAAGTATATATAGACATGTAACGATGCATCGATGTAATCAATTTCAATTTATTTTCTCAGGATACATTAATCAATTATTTGTTATCAATTATATTTTGATGACAGGTGGGAGAGTAAATCCGTCCATCCAAATGATGTATCTGAATGAAATGGTTCTCATTGTGTGCAGGGGCGGAGCCAGGATTTCAGGCCGGGGTGACATTCAACAAATTTTTATTTCGAGAATGATTTAGAGAGTCAGGCTGTTGAACTAGACGCCATCGGTTGGCGACACACTCTGACAATGCAGTTGCACGGAGTCCGCCAGACCGAGTGTCGTACACTTATACGCAGAATGTCACCCCTGTCACCCGCCCCTGATTGTGTGGGTTTACAGTATTTGTTATTCGTGTGAAGCATCAGCGCACGTTACTATGGTCACGACTTCTTGTTAGCCACCTATAGCAAAGGTAAACAGATCAATCTGGCAACAATGACTAAATTAAGGTGGCACAACTGTGTACAGTCCGCATTCAAACTTGAAGTTATGTCCAAGTCCCACTAAAATAAGTTAAAGAGTCACGTTTACAATGCACAGCCATTCAAATGATCATGATCTGACACTGGTATGATTGTTTACTTTACTTCCCTGCAGCGTCAATAACCTGAAGTGTAAATGGTTGAAGTCGTTTCACAAGGATTAGGTAATTCATTTTCAAAAGAAGTTTGCCTCATTACAAGAAAGGTGACATCCAAAAAACAATATATATTTTTTTATTTTTGACCATACCAGCTTCCGTCAGCGGAAACGTGGCAGCTTGAGGTCTGCAAATAAACAGCTGTTGTTGTTGCACCTCGGGGAAACCCCCTTCTAATCTGCCCGTGAACAGTGCCACAAATCACGGGTTTGAAGTTGCGTGGTTCCACGCTGACTTCAGCTGGCTTTGTCGTAGCTGGTGCTTGGCATGCACACGGCCGCGTGCTGTGCCCCGGCTGAGTCACGCCTGTGTACAATGGGTGCTGCGGTCCCCACTCCAAGTGCCTTTACTAGAGCCCGCCGATGATGGTGCTTCTTAAAGTCACGTGCCACTGAACTTGTTAACAAGTTTGGTACGCATTTCCTATTATTATATAAACACACACCTGGGCACACAACCCAGGTCTATGTTTATATAATATATAAGAATCTTGATTTTGAAGCTGATGACGGGCGCTTGTGTTTGCGCCCGAAACGTCGTGATTTATTTTATTTTATACCCACGTGACTTTACCGAAAGAACCAAAGAGTGTATAATATATGAGTTGTTAAATTGTTTGTGTTGCGTCCTCTGTTAATCGTCGTTCATTGGGAACGTTAAACACATGTAAAATAAGACTCATAATTGACATCAAAGCTCTACATATGGGCATTGCGAACAATACAGGTTCATAGCAACTCGTACAGTGATCATCACGAATGTATGGCTTCATTGGATTTGTGAACGTTTTTCCAGACAATCACCCCACGGGTTTTGTTTGTTTAAAAAAAAAAAACAATTCGCATTGTTTCTTATATCGATTCACCAATCGACAGCTTTTAATATTGTTTACATTGCCCATTTATGTGATTTAAAAACATGAAAGGAAATCTAAAAGAAAGGTAACAAAAACACCACTGAGAATATAAGAAGCCAATTCTGGAACTCGCAATCCAACGCTACGGTAGTTTATGTATGGTATGTGTACTAAACTGGGACTGCCTGGCATGTAAGTTTCTGTGCTGCGTGGGGACACCACAAGTCCAGCATTGCTTTGCAAGCCGTTTGAGTATAGGAGGAGCATGGGATGTCTATATAAGGATTCACTTATGTGCACTAGGTAACTGGTAACCTGAGTTTGATATCCAGTTATGACTTACATGAGTGGTGAGAAATATCTGAACCAGTTCTGGTCCACCCCTATTTTCATAAGGTGCATAAATATATAACACAGCACCTGCAACCGGTAAAAAAAAAACTTACAACAAAAGCGTGTCTAACGTATGCCTGCGGATCGGACTGTGAAACTGAAATATTGTACAGCCACGGTCTGCTTAAACAAATTATGCTGTAAAATATTGGTATTGGTGTTAAAGGTCAAGGCTCATAGACTAAAAATATTCTCTGCATATGTGGAGCGGTGGACTTTTTTCGTCTGATTATTTGCAACTAATTATAGGAGATATCGTCCTGTGGGTGAAACCAAAAATATCAACAAAAGCTGACTCGTTGCCATTTGATCTGGTGTCATGAAAACACTGGTATTCTAACACAATTTCCATTCCATTAATGTTATATATTGGCCATATACAAGAAGCACTGTGAAAATACAGAGAGGTGGGCCTTATTGAGATCATTTATTTGCAAACTTCGGCTCAAGTAATGTGGCCTTGGTTTACAAAAGGTTGCAGTGTTCTTATTTTGATGTTGTGTTAACAATGCCCAATATGACGCATAGCACTGGTAGAGTATTGTGTGTCACCGAAGCCCTCATTATATTGTGCTGTGGGTAGCAGCCAAATGTGCTCGAAGACTTCAAGCCAAACAGATGACATCGCCAAGCATTGTGGTGCAAATCTTACTGGAAATGTAATTAGGTCTGTGCATAGGAAAGATCGTCACGTGTGTGATACTCCAATGTGTGGGGAAGATGTGAGGTGGGCATAGCTCACGTGATGTAGAGTGTTTCTGACCTATCTGTATTTTTTTATTGTGACCCCTTGATATGTGTGGGTTTTCTCCAAAATATCAATAATTAGTAGGACAATTCATTATTATCCTAAATAGTGTCCTCTTGAAAAAAATAACAGTTCTGAGCCATAATGAATTTTTCATGAATATTGGACATGAGTATTCAGAAAATAGAGACCGCGGAAGAATGCAATGCTTAAGGAAAACTGAACTGTCACAAAGAAGACAATGGAACGTTCTGCTGCACATGCCATGCGATGGAGATGAAGAATGCTTCAACGAATGATAACTACGGAAGAACAGTTGAAACACCTGCAAACAAACATTTGGGAAATGTTTGAATTTTCTCATTGACGCAGAGACTTATGTCGGAGACCACCAGTCCATATAAAGCATCACATTTACTTCAGAAAAGACATTGGGATTTAGCAGAACAAGTCACTGGAAGGAATGAGTCATAAAAACAAGCAAACAATAACGTGGCAGCAGAAGAGGACAACCTTCACGGAGAACCATTTGGGAGACGGAACTGCAAAATTATAGTGCATGCAGCAATAAACGGATTGCATCTGCACGAAGATTGCTGCCAACACGGTGTGGCTTTCATTAAATAGTTGTATTGCAGTATTAATCCATGCTAACAATCCCAACAAAGCCATGTGGTACACTGTGCTCTATTGGTTATTTCGAAATGGGCGAGGAATTTTGATGAGAAAATTCCTCTTCATAGTGGAAAAATGCTGATGCACTGTAGTGAAGCAGGTTTGCCATATGAATTGGTCATCGATTCATGTCACTTCTTGAAGCTGGAATGAAAGAACAGAGAGAGCACAATTCATTATTGGCTTATGCCCATCCTCCCACCCCATTATGTATGGATTTTCAGCTCGTTGTACCCGGTCATCTAGAGTTGTAACATTACAAGCGCTCCCTCCACCGCTGGAGGACCACATTCTGCTGTGCGGCAATCTGCACAGTGTGGATGAGACTGGAGTGGGTGGTGGGGCTAGAATGGAGTTGGAAGACGTGGCCCCCAAATGTGTCTGTTGAGCGAGCGTGGCTATGTCTTTGACGCTATTAAAGAGGGATATCTGTTGCGTGTGCTCTACCACAATTAGGTGGAAACTCTCATGAAATTATTCTTGCCCGGCTCCCGGAAAGAGGCTCTGTGCGGTAAAGTGGTAACACTGGCAGTTCCATCTTGCAAAACTCACAAACACACAAAGACAAAGATCCCTCGTATAGCTTTAACAGACTGTTGGGCAAGTGCTGTTAGCGAGCATCTATGAAGGCCGGCACGGCCAGCACCACACCCGGCAACCTTTGTCTCCCCATTGGCGATGTTTTTAGACGCCGCACCAGGTACTCATTGGCGGCTGAGTCAACCCTGGGGAGGCCCAGCACCATTGGCTTTAATCGCGTGACTGTTGTTTATTTTGTGTGCAGTGGAAGAGGTTGATGGATGAAAATGGCAAGGTGTACTTCTACACGAGCAAGGGGGACAGTGTCTGGGAGCTCCCAAAGGTGATTTTTGGTGTTAATATCTTGATTGATTGATGCCACTTATTTAACAGAAGTGTGATTTCTTTTATACTTGGAAGTTAGAATCAGAATTCCAACCGTGGCTCACATCAGTGACGAGTGATATCTGAACAAGTACTGTGCCCCAATGCACATTGTGAAGTATGGTCAAGCGTCCCCAATAACCGAAAGTAGTTGGGAGGCCTTATATGATTATGAATTGATGTAAATATATATTTTTGAATGGGGATTTGACAATGGTTTACACTAGCTTGTTTTGGTGAATTGACTCAAACAGTAATTTCTGGTGTCTTTGAATAAACATCATAGTAGCAGTAGGAAATAATGTGGCTGGGTGACAGCATGGCTGAGCAATTGACTCACAATCAGGTAGCGGGGCTGACCGAGTGCCTTGGTACAAGTGTAACATAGGCTGCCTGGGCCACCCAGCTGCTTCAAACCATTGTTAGTGTAGCCAGCATTTTTAAAATATCGAGTCATAGTCTTAGCCTAGTCAATGAAAGCCTGTGGAATATTAGTTAAGTCTTCATACACAGATTTCATGTTGTAATTCTCTTAGTCTGGTGGAATAAAGAGGTCAATCATTTAATCCACTCTCAGTTATTAAATGTTGGTGTAAGGGGTTCACAATTGCCGCCTCCCCCACCCCACTACAATATCAGGTGAGCCAATCGGCGAACTCGGTAAATATTTTATGTACACATTTGGCCAAATACCACTTTTCTACATCAATTCCGCCGTCCACTGGAGGTCTTCTTGATCTTCTTCAAGGCCATGCTGTCTCTAATAACGTTAAAGTAAATTAGTTTGGGTCTTCATTCAGACAAGTTTATTTGATTATTTTCGTAGACCTTTGTCGGTATTTGTAGTAGACGTCGTGACGCTTGATAATTTTTCATACACTCATGGTGTCACTGGTGACCGAACTTTGTTGACAGATATATTCAGCACTAAGTTTACGTGTGCTTCCAACGAATGTGCTTTGTTTTTTTTAAAATACTTTTATTTGTCATCTTGCTCCATTCCTCCCGCTCGGCCACAAACAGCTGGAGTCTCCCCCTCCCACTGAAGAGCCCAGGGCCGGAACCCTCCCTCGTGCATCGCACGCCTCGGAGCGGTCCCTCCACAGCAGCACGCTCCCACGCGGCACGGGCACCTCATCGTCCTCCTCCTTCTCATCCTCGTCTGCAGCCATGACGCAGGATGTGAAACCCGCACTCAGCAGCTTTGGCATGGCCACGCTACCACGCGCCTCCGCCGGCTCGTCCGACAGGCAGTTTGGCACCGGCGCCGGCGGCAGCAGCAGCGGCAGCGGCAGCAGCGGCATCGGCAGCACCACCTCGGCGTTGGCCGCGACTTCTCTGGTGGCGACACTAAGGCCCGGCGGGCCTGACAAGCCTCAGCTCGTGCTGACAGAGCAGGGCACGGTGACGGCAGTCAACTGGCGCGTGCGGCAAGGCGGTCTGGACAGGGCCATCCAAGCCAAGTCGGTGTTCATTCCAGATGAACCAAAGGTATGTGGGGGAGCATGGGCACAGTATTCTAAGTTGTGCAGTGTTGTGAGAAGCGCTTTCTTAACTTGGCAATGGCTGCTTCTGGGAGACACGTGCCTCTTGTATTATTAAAAAAATATATTTAATTAAATGTTCTAAGTTGATTAATTCTTTTTTAATGAATTTAAAGTCAAATTTTATGAGCTGTAGCCCACACTGGTAGACTCTTGACTCACAATCCAAAGTAAATGCAAGGGGGTTAATATGTCTTGTCAATGATAGTCACTGAAGCAAAGGATTTGAAGTGTTCATCAATAATGTTAAATTGCTATCTACAATATATTGTAAAGTTAATGTGTCCCTTTTACTTGAGTGAAAATTAGCTGATGCTCACCTCAACTAACAGTACTATCGAGATGGTAACCATTGTTGACTTCCTACAAAGTGGTTCTTATTTTACCAGTCCCAGAGGGTAGATTTTGGCCTGAATTGACTCATGGCTCGATCTGTTGGTGTAGAAATTTTATGTGCTGTTCTACGATTAAATATCATATAAATGCTACATTATCCCCACATTATGCCAAGTTATTTTACTATTGTATTAACCTTTGTGAGAATGCATTGGCCATTGGAATTTTGCAGATATATAAATATTAAAATATTCTTAACTGAGCCACGTGCATCTCTTGGAGTGATTCTTAAAAATGATCAACTTATTTCCATTTGAAAGGTGGTCAAAATCCAGTCACACGGAACAGTTTCAAGCCAGTGATCATGAAAATGTATCTGTTGCTCTGCTGAATGTTAGATAATGTTTGTGAAAAGCTAAAAGCACTTCATAAATGCCATTAGCCCATAGTGCCCAAACCTTCAAGCGAGACGTGTAATAAAGCAAACCAAATGAGATGCGAACCGATTAACTCAACAATGCACTTTTAATGTGTTATGCACGTTATGTAGTGGCTTTCAATGAATATAGTTTCACCACTCAAAGCTGGTTTTGTTTTCTCTCGCAGGAGTAAGCAGGGCATAACAAACAATTATTCAATAACTATAAAGAGTCCAAGCGGTTCAGGTGGTAAAGGGCATGTAATATTGTTTAACAAGCATAGGTGGGTATTTATTTTGTGAACTTTTGTTTTATTACACAGCCCCCTCATTGCTTTTAAAATGACAGCGTTGCTTTATGCATTTCTCCACAGCGTGTAACCACTTCAAAACTGTTTAAAATTCATCAGTTATCCAGAGTCGTTGGAGGCTTCTAAATCTCCTTGACCTTCATGTCATTTTGAGAGTAACTGCCACATTTCCTGCCTGCATGTCCATGCTGCTGATTTAAAGACCATTTTACCAAGCAAGTGTAAAAGCGGAGGGAAATATACTACAAAAATGATGCATCTTCCCATACGCACTGATCTCGCGTGATATATGATGGAAGTGATGCAGCATTTATTCATGGGGGGAAAAAGCAAAAGTGTAAATGTAATGTGTTTAAGGTGTCACATACTCGTGAAACACAATAAACATGATTTGAAGGGCGTTTTCATTTAAGTACTGTAATTTAATCAGTGCCAATGATACTTTCCGATGCAATGAGTGGTAACTAATTTAATTTCAAAGTATTGCAATAAAACACAATAAAAAATATGACAATAGTTGAATGGCACCAGAAAGATATTGAGTGGAAAATGTATTCTCTTCTGTGTGTGTGGGGATCTGTGGCGTAAGTCATTTGTGCACTGTGCTATGAATCCAGCAATCTGAGTTTGATTCCCCACCATGGCTTACATCAGTGAGTTGTGATGTATGAACTGGTCCTGGGCTGCCTCTTGGTTGATTCAGCCTTAAACTATTATCTCGTATTCTATATATATATAAAACACACATTAGCACTAGGGGAGATAGATGCTACCAGGCGTGCTGCTAGCCACAACACCCTGTTGTACGATGTGCCTGTTTTAAAAGGTACTTGCTTTAAAGCACTTGCCGCAACAATCTGCAATTATCTGTATGACGATACGCAAGAGAGAGAGGGGGGGTTGTCTCTATTATGTTTGGGAGGACGATGAAGGGTAATGGTTCATCCAGTGCCATACAATTCTTCCACACTTAGGTGATTCTTTACCTTGCACAACACCAGTAATAATAATGGTACGTGAACCGGTCCTGGGCTTCCTCTAGATTGACTCGGCCTGAAATGAATGCCTTTTGCATTTAGTGAACATCTGCACTGTCGAGACGAGTGCAGACGCGTATGGTGTTGACCAGGCCCACCCGCTCGTGTCTGTGTGCGTCTGTGCGCGCACTTGTGTCTGATGTCAGCCTTTCCAACTACCGTGCCAACTGTTGGCACAGTAGGGAGCACAGGTGGTTCATCTGCCAGTCATCTTGGTCAGTCAATCCACGGCACCTGGGTCTGTCCCGTGACCTCCAGTCAGCGAGCCTTCAACACTTCCCGTGGAACTCAAAAGTGCACCTAGCCTGGCACAAGTAATGTGGTGACGTCACCGCCACTTAGTGGCGAATGGCAGCTGTTGTTGTCAGATTTACTATGCCCTCTGGTCTGTAAGGCTAAAACAGGGGATCCTTGTGTTTGTATTTGTGTTTTGGCAGATTACACCGCACAAAAGGACACTTTCAGATCACGACTTGTCGGACAAGGCTGCACCAGCAACTGTAAATCCACTGTCACCAGTAAGCGCCACTGTACGGAGAGTCTTGCATAACCAATTGAGGAATAGCATTTGTCAAAGTCGAGAAAGTGCACCTTGCTTTATCATTCTCTGAAACTGCTTCAACCTGAAAAGTACGTTAAATTAGTTTGGCTTTCCATAAATCGAAATGCAGTGCTGTTTTTTATTATTATCATTATATTCTCTCATGTTTTATTTGAAGCTCAGGTTCACTTTGTGTTCATGCTATTGTTACGTTAGAGTGCATTGCAAGCTGCCGCCTCCATCACATGCCCATTGCGTTTGTAAAAAAATAAATGCGTGTTTGTTTCATGCAGCGTCTACACTTCGTAAGCATTTAGTTTCTCCTTCACAGGTACACCTGTTAAGCGTTGGTCGAGACTTTGTATGCCTCTATCTCAATGGACTCTACAACCAAAAGACCTCAAACTAAAATCTTTTGCTCTCGTATGAAAACGGATTGCATTTCTATAACCACCAACATTTTCTTTTATTGATTAAAAAATACATGTGTTATTTTTAAAATGATCTATTCATTGGCCAGGGCCACAAACAAATGACGTAATCCATTGACTTCACACAAAATCCTATGACCGACCCAGTGAATGTATGCATTCTGAAAGTGAATCAGCCTCAAATGCTGGTTTACCCAAAGAACAACATCCACTGTGTGTGTAATCCTATCTGTCGGCTCTCATGTTTGGTGTACTGTGAAGTTACCCAAGACCGTCAACCATCGGAGGATTTATTTTCCTAATCAGGCCTGGTATGCGTGCCTCTGGTGCAATGGGATGGTATTCTCTCAGCTGCCTCTTTGGCAATTTGAAGCAACGTTTTTTCAAAAGATAGAAATGTCTGGTTTTGAAATAGATGAATCACTTTTCTTCAGCAGTGGTTTCGGTGTTAATCATGTCGGATTTTAAAGATGATGTGGGAAAAATTACATGACCAGCATTTGCATGCAATATATTTGCATCGAGAGTGTTAATGTGGTCCTTTTATTTCAATTACAAAAAAGGTGTACATTAATGATTAAATGTTGTGGATTACTACAGCTGAGAATATTTCCAAACGTTATTTCCATATATATGCAGTGTTAATAAAGAATCACATTTTTTAAGAGGTCCATTATATTGTGTTTTTTTTCATTGGAATTATACTTTTTTTGTGCAAGTTATATATAAATTAAATTAATATATAAGTTCTTTACTAGTTGTTTCAATCATAATTACCAAGTTGTTGTGATCTTACAGCCCTTGGACAAAGCTGGAATGCTCAACAAGACCAAGATAATGGAGGCTGGCAAGAAGCTCAGGTTCGTACTGGGTTGTTACACTTGGTTCTTGCTGACACGCTAGCTTGTGAGATGTGAATTATTCGTATGTATTGTGAAGTTTGTACAACAACTGTCGTTCCCCACTAAGTGGTAGTGACATCACCACGGGGCTTTAGGCATGCTAAGTGTAATTTGAGGCCATGTGAAGTGTTGATGGCTCACTGGCAGGTCACATAACAGATTCAGGTGCCTTTGGTTGATTGACTGAGTGTGTCATCTCAGAATAGATGAATAATGAACCAAATGAAATATGTATTCGGTGTTTTGATTGGACTATACTATCCACTGCATGTTCAATACTAGAACATCTCTATTGGTAGGTACATGGGCATAAGACAAATGCGGACACACTGCAGGCCTTAATGAAGAATGAACATTTATAGTAAAAATTTAATAATAATTGACAGCTCTTTGTCAATCCACTGATGGATAAAGTCCTCCCTATGCCCTGTCGGTCACCGGGGGTTTATGGGCCATACTTCAACCACACTGGTCAGCACAGGTTGGTTCAGATACCAATTGCTACTGCTGTCAGTTGCAGCTGGGAATCGGGGTGGGTTAATAGCGGAGTGCGCTAACCAGCTGCAGCACTGCTCCATCCACGGACACATGGTCGCCCATTTTAAATGTGGCAGGGTGGGTCAAACGAGCACCTTTGAGCCAGCTGTGGTTGCCTTTGGATGGACTGTGCCATGCCAGAGGAATGTCAGTTTTTCACCACTTGCTGTGGGCGGCCAACAAAGAAGAGTAATTGTGAACACATGGAGACACTGGTTTTTTTCTGTATTTTGCATTAGTTAATGTGATTGTTTTAATCGGTATTTTAGGTAAGTCGCTTATGTAATTTGTTTTTACATAATGAAGAAAAGTTTAAATTCTCACGTATAGAGCAAGTGTTCTCTGTATCTCATTACTGCGGGACCTAAATTCCATTTGAAGTTTCAGACTTTTGATGTAATGTCTCTTCCAAAAACCACTCACTCATTTGATTGCACATATATAATCATTTATTAATACACAAACATGTTTTGAGCGTTTTACATAACTGTTGTGTCTAAACAAACAGACATACCGATCTCTTTGAGTCACGTCTGTTTTAAGCGTGAAATCCTTCTTGAGAATAATAACTCGTTTCAATAACAGATGAGCAAATGTTTGAACTCTAAAACTTATATGCAGAGAGCTATGTCTTCTTGTTCAATTGTGGTATGTCCCTGAAAGTAATTAAAACAACTTTATTTGTTTTTTTCTAAGGTCAACCCCTTGCCTGAAACACGATTGGCACTACCACCTCGAGTGTGCTATAAAAAAATACTCCACATTCAGGCACTTCATGCTTTAAATCAGTAAATAAAAAATGACTGACATGAACACAGGGAATGTTACAATTGTGAATTAAATTGCAAAAATCTTATGAAACACGTGGATCTCATTATTTTGTCACAAAGATGTGTATGGAATGGATTGTTAGCATCACTTATCAATAGCTCTTATTGTACTATGCAGCTTGACGATTTGTATGAAATTACTGTGGTTCAACTCAACATTATTATCACTGGCATGAAATGTTTTTAAACTGTCATGTTCGTTATGGATTTTTATATCATTGTATTTAAAAGAGGTGACACCAGTCAATGGCTGGTGCCTTAACTGTATTTGATTGTTTGGCTGATATAAATGATCACATGATAAGCCACTTCGTTGAACTATTATTTGTGGCCAGGATGCTTCTAAAAATAACTAATAATTCAGTGGGCTTTACCTGCTTAAATAAAAAAAGAAGTTAGTTTTTATCTGTTTATTTTTAGTGATTTGCATACCTTTCCGATACTTTTCAATCCTATAGTTTTTTTGTATTGTTTGTTATTGTAGCTTTCTGACGCGTGCCTCCTGGACATCTGTAAAAAGAACTTCATAGCTTATCAGATTTCTCCAGGATAAATATAGTTTCTGATAATGATAAATAATCTGATATGTACGGGCTTATGTGGAGATATATACTATTTACGTCGACTGATACATTGGTGGGGGCAAATTCTTGACTAGTGCAATGCTATGATGTACTCAATACTGAATGCTATTGTACTGACAGTGACCATAAATGTGATTTTTCAGGAAGAATTGGGCTCCCTCGTGGGTGGTGCTGAGTGGAAGCAGTCTGGTTTTCCACAAGGAGCCCAAAGCACAAACTGCTGCCAGTTGGGTAAGTCTTATCGCTGACTGATCATCGGGCACAATTTTATTTTAGCGTTCTCTCAGGGACGGGCGTTTTCAATTCAATAAACCAAGCCTAAGGATTTGTGTGTCAAGACCAGAGTGACTTTCAAAAGTAGGTTAGTGAGACCATGTTGGGGAAACATGAGAATAAACCTGGTCTCCATTTCTAGCAGAAATCTGTTTTTTCTTTTTACGTCGCTGAAAGTTACTGTTTGGAATTAACAGACAGGATTTCTGTCTGGGAGCAGGCTTTTAATTAGGTCTGGTGGTGACATGATCATTATCCAAATCACATATCTAAAAACGCAGCATTTCAACAGCGAAAGCAATGGTTCTGCTTTTGAAAATTTGCATAATCCCTTTTTTTCCATGAACAGCTCCCTCCTGTGCTCACAACCCGCCAGCCATTCGGTTTTGGCCCTGTTTACGTTTCATGTTACTCAAATGCCCTGCTATGCAGCAGGAAAATTTTTTTGTGACCGCAGATGCATATGGTTTGCAACCTCTTCTTTCAAAAGTTTTAAAATGAAGGACCTCTGTTTTACTTTCTCTGCAACATGCAAATGTAGGCAGGTGGTGCCGTTTCAGGGAGGGGATTGGATGTGTGTGGTTAAGGGAGAGGATAGGGTGTGTGTGGTTAATGGGGGGAGGGGATAGGGTGTGTGTGGTTAATGGAGGGAGGGGATAGGGTGTGTGTGGTAAAGGGAAGGGGATAGGGTGTGTGTGGTTAATGGGGGGAGGGGATAGGGTGTGTGTGGTAAAGGGAAGGGGATAGGGTCTGTGTGGTAAATGGAAGGGGATAAGGTGTGTGGTTAATTGGGGGAGGGGATAGGGTGTGTGTGGTAAAGGGAAGGGGATAGGGTGTGTGTGGTAAAGGGAAGGGGATAGGGTCTGTGGTAAATGGAAGGGGATAGGGTCTGTGTGGTAAAGGGAAGGGGATAGGGTATGTGTGGTAAAGGGAAGGGGATAGGGTCTGTGTGGTAAAGGGAAGGGGATAGGGTGTGTGGTTAATGGAGGGAGGGGATAGGGTGTGTGTGGTAAATGGAAGGGGATAGGGTGTGTGTGGTAAATGGAAGGGGATAGGGTCTGTGTGGTAAAGGGAAGGGGATAGGGTGTGTGGTTAATGGAGGGAGGGGATAGGGTCTGTGTGGTAAAGGGAAGGGGATAGGGTATGTGTGGTTAATGGAAGGGGATAGGGTCTGTGTGGTAAAGGGAAGGGGATAGGGTCTGTGGTAAATGGAAGGGGATAGGGTCTGTGTGGTAAAGGGAAGGGGATAGGGTATGTGTGGTAAAGGGAAGGGGATAGGGTCTGTGTGGTTAATGGAAGGGGATAGGGTCTGTGCGGTAAAGGGAAGGGGATAGGGTATGTGTGGTAAAGGGAAGGGGATAGGGTGTGTGTGGTTAATGGAAGGGGATAGGGTGTGTGTGGTAAATGGAAGGGGATAGGGTCTGTGTGGTTAATGGAAGGGGATAGGGTCTGTGTGGTAAATGGAAGGGGATAGGGTCTGTGTGGTTAATGGAAGGGGATAGGGTCTGTGTGGTAAAGGTGCTTTGGAGGAGTTTAGAGCAGCACTTCTGTCCTCCCACCATGTGATGTGAAGTTAATGAGAATAACAGCTTTTTTAAACTCTTCACCTAAAAGCCTTGCCGACACACATAAATCTAGAATTGACACACATAACGTGCAGTCGAATGAATTTATTTCGAACGATGAAATCTAGCGACCCGGTTTATTCCACAATTTGCTTCCGCTATTCCTTCTGCATCTTCTACTGTAACCTTACTCCTATTGGTCTCGGTCTCTCTACCCGGCAGAGTGTGGTGTCCAACATGCTACTGAGCCTGGTCGCCGCTTGGAAGGGCTCGACAAAGATTCGTCGAGCTGTCACTCGTGTAAAACATAGACTCGCGTTTTCACTCGCTTCGCCATCCATACTGTGTGGCTGAGCACTGTTGAATATGATCTGTTAACCTTTCAAACGTGTTTTAATCGTGAAACTATTTCTACTATCTTACTAACGTACATGCAATCAGCCGATGTTGTTGGCTGCTTATGCTGCTCCGCTTACCGCTTGATATCGGCCTTTTTTGTCTGTGCATCCATATGTCACCCGTAATAGAACACCGGCACATGCAGCTATAACTCTGACAAGTATTTTGAGTAAACGCCAAGCAACTAAGCGCCTCTATATTGGTATCGCTATTGTAATCGGTTCAGTGTTGTATCACGGATAGTTTTGTCCTGCTGCATTGCACTAAGGGGCAGTTACGTGGAAACGAGCCATGTCAGCTCAGAGGACCCAAAGTGGACTAGGCACGACAACATTTAGGGCAGTTAAACAAACAATTTTCCAGAAGCCGATGAGAATGACCTCCTCATGACGCAGGTAGAATGAACGCCATGAGAATATAAACAATGCACGTGAAACGTAACAACAAAAAACAGACATCGAAAAATCGGTGCGTTCCATACCATTGTGTACAGCATATTTTTCTAATGTTATCAATAGTGGCCATAGATTCCGCTGTAAAAGGAGATGTATTGAAGTGTATGATGCACAATTACAGAGGTTTTTTTTTTAACAGTGTATTATGGGCTTCATGTCTTTGCTTTACTGTCATGTGTGTTTTCGATCCTTCATCGGCTCATCCTCATTGTCAAGAGTTTTACTTTTGCACTGTAGCAGCAAACCACATTCGGCTATATTGTTATTAAAACATAATACAAGGTACAAGCATGCGCAAGCGAATGTACACATTGCTACTTGTTTTATATTCTTCCTCTTGAGTATAATTTATTTCTCTCTAAACATTGTGCCTAAGAACACATTCTTTTTTGTAAAACATCTGCACATTCCAAGTGGTTCCTACCACACTCGAGCACAATTTGCACTTTCAAAAGAGGCCGATAATGCAGGGTTGTGATGTCGCGTTAACGCATAGAAACGTGTCTTGCTTACAGAATGCCTACAATTCTCCCACTGCAATTTACTGAAAATAATTGTATAACTGGCGCGCGTGAAGCGCACTTTTACACGATATTTTGTGTGGTTGAACTGTCGTCTGTGCACATGATTGGTGACCAATTGCCGAATTGCCATCATAAATACGACTGCAAAACCTGAGGCTGATTCCTTTGGCGTTTTTAAAGCCGTGGGATATTTATTAATTGGCCATGCAGAGTGTATCATCTTTGATGCCGATCTCTTGCAAAAGATGGCAGTCTATCCCTTGGTGTGGATCCTTTCCATTGAAAGGAATGCATTTAGACATGTTTTTGTGCCACAAATATACAAGAAAATCTCTACTGTGGATAAATTGCAAGATTGAAGCAGAAATGCAGCCTTGCTTATGTTTGACTCAATGGAAAATTTAGTGTGGCTGCATCACGTGACGTATGGGGTCGCTGGCAATATCCAGTTGTCATCTTGCATTGCATCCTGATGAAGAATCATAGGCATCTGCTTGAGGTGCAGTGTCAATGTGGTGTAGGTGTGTATGTGTACGCTGAGACAATATTGGCTACGCCTCAATGTAGGACCCTGCAAATGGAAGTAAACCATCCTGCACCTTTTTGTGAATTGTAACATTTTTAATATTGCCCTGATGGTTTATTTTCACAAGTAACATGCTTGCATTAAACAGCTTGCAGAGTGTGCATAATACTACTGAGAGCGTAGTTTTGTTAAGTTCACAGTGAATCAATTAATCTTTAGCATCTTAGTGCATCTGGCTGGCGACAAGGGTTTGCAGCTGAACATGCATGTTATGCTGATTGAGAAGTAATTGCAATTATTGATTATTTCAATCACATAAACTATATGTAGAGATTTTGCTTTTGAGAAGGGGGGAAAAATATGCAAAAAACTGTGACGTATGACGTGAAAGTTTGTAATTACCAACGTAGTTTTTTTACCCGAGACCATTGCTATTGAATTAAATAAATGTGACTCCCACACACCTTGAGTTTTGTTCTGCATTTATAATTGGATATACGACCATGCTCACAAATTTAATTAACCCTGCGCACATTAAAACGGACGTAGTTCAAACCTAGCAAGTGTGGATATGTGCATTTAATTTTAATTGACTGCAGCGATATTAACCCTGTTGTGTCGCCCATAAGTGTGGATTTATGCCCCTGTTACCGTTAGTGCTGCTTATTACTCGTGCGAGGCAACTTGATACTCGTGGTAAACGTGTGTGCTTCTCTTTAATGCGTTGTTCTCTACATACTTGGTAAATAAAACTCGGTCTTGTCCACCCTTATGAAAATCACCATAACCACCTAAAATAACTATTTGTAAAATAAATATATAACATTGGCCCTTGTTGCCTTAAAAATGTTTGAACATCGATGTCTCTCGGTCAAAATAATGAAATAATATCAATCAACATTATTTTACTCTGCTAGGAATACTTCCTTAAGTGATAATAAGTGTGTATCGCTTGGGAATATAAATTATTATCTTGGACATTGTGTGCCACTTAACAATAGAATAATAAATTTTGATTTAAAGCTTTCGTGACTGCATTGATTCATATTCTTCGTTCTCTCGGTAAAGTCACGTGACTTTACCGAGAGAACCAAGAATATAATAGAATCACAATCCGTATACGAGGGGTATAATCAAGGGCAGATGGCATATCACAACTTAATAGGATTATTTAACTACGCACAACATTACTTTTTTTGTATTGCCACACTGCCGTCCGTAACGCGCGTTGTGGACTATTTCTGTTTTCCAGAAAACGGGCTCGGCACAGAGCAAGCCCGAGGGCTCGGTGGAGCTACGTGGAGCCCACGTGGAGTGGGCCCGGGACAAGTCGAGCAAGAAGAATGTCTTTCAGGTTTGTGGGTGGAACCCAGTTGCCGTCGAGCCGAGCCTCGGGCACTAAATAGGCATCGGGGTTTCACGATAGCTGGCTTGGTGCTGCACCCCACCCAGCTTGGTGACGTTGCACCTCGGGGTCACCGTATTGACTACGCATCTCGTGCTCCTGGTCGCATCCTGACGCAGCAATGGCAACTGGCTTCTCCACGGAAGGAAAGAAACGAGGCCGGGTCTTTACGGAACAAATGGCGCTTCGTGGTCCGGTTTTGAAATTCTGCTGCAAACTTCGATTGTTATGTTGGCGTTGTGACACTTTATAGAGGTCGTATTGTGGTAAACCAGCAATTATCTTGTTATGCTTTTCCATAGATCCAAACAGGGACGGGGCATCATGAGTTCCTTCTGCAATCGGATAATGATACCATTATCAACGAGTGGTTTCAAGCCATAAGGAGCGTCATACAAAAACTGGTCGGTGCCCACAGCCTGCCACTTGGCCACTTGCATTCATTTTGTGTCATTGATTGCATTGAAATGTAGCTGCAGAAATGCCGAGTGTTCTCTACACAGATCTCTTAGTGTCCTGATTTTCTCAAACCAATTGCTCCGCAACATCCTCCGTTGCATCATTCGACAAATATTTTTGATGTTGCTGATGCTGTTGCCGCCAAAGCCTATACTTATTATTGCTATTGATACAGCACTTGCTTTGAAGGTCTATCAGCAATGCAGAAGACCTGTAAATACCCTTTCCATATTTTCTGTTGACATTTTTTTTTCTTGACATGTGCAGCGCAAGGTAAAAAAAAATGTACAACTGCGGGCCACACGGTATTGAACAGTTCTAATAATGTTTGTGTTTGTGGACACTTAAAAAAAAACATCCACAATTATATTCCAACTGTACGATCAGCATCCTGTCGAGAAGAAATGTCAATTCGGAAACTTTTCAGCATAGGAATGCGTCGCCCTTTGACAGAGAATCTCACAAGAGGCACACCGTTTAATTATAATCTGCACAGAGTACGTATTAAATGTTGGTCAAACCATTGTTTTTTTCACAGCCGCAATTTGACCATATTGTCAAACCCAAATTTAATGTCTTTTTGCTTTGTATTTTTTGTTCATCGATTATTAACCAGGCTCAGACCAACTAATTTTACCTGGCGATTAGTCCGGTTGGCTACGTACGCTGTGAAACATACATACATACATAATGCCGACCCCCATCTTGGGCTCCATCTTGGGCTCGACACCGATGAGGGAGAGCTTGATAGCTCATCGGGTTTTTCCAGCCTTGGACTATTTGCGGGGCGCTGCTGAGATTTTAATGTAGAATCTCAGCAGTGCTTGTTTAACGCTCTGACGCCTGAAATAACGTGGACACCTCACTTGTATACACTTCTAATTAATATTTAAAATATCACAATTTCATTGTAGAGCTGCATAGAGTGCCATTGCATATATACACACACACTCAGCTCGGATTGTGCAGTGTTACAGGTTTTCACAAAGCTGTGTATTGACAGCAGTGTATGATAGTGTTTACCTGAGGTAAGATTGTTATGAGAAAGACCTTGTAACGTTGTCATTATCACTACATGATTCTACCTACACCAGTTTCAGTTTTACACTTTTTACAACCAATGTGTTTGAGCGATTACATCATTGCATTGGAAATTGTGTCATGCGGTGATATCATTTGAGCAGTGTTCTGGAAAGACTTTGTAGCACACAAGAGCTCATTGTCCAGAAAGTAGTGTTATGTTGAGGGTAGATGGATTAAATGGCTAAAGTAAATGAATGAATGCGGTCATTGTTTGGCCATCTGTAGGGTAATACTACAAAAACAACTATCAAAAGTGGATTGTCAGCATGGCTCACCGATATCATGTTTGCATATATATGTGGATTGCCAAGTTTTTTTCTAAGACACTCCTCATTTGTGAAATGTTTGAGGTGTTGGCCACCAATTTTTCTGCATGGCAGTGTCATTGAAATCCTAGTTTTGTGTCACCACCATTCAGCTTTACCGAAGGGACATTCCCTTATATAAGATGGCTTAATGTGTCGTTGACACAGCTCATTCATAGAGACTTCAAATGAAAATCTCATTAACTTTACTGGCCGTGTCTTATAAACGACTGTTGCACGTGTTCACTCCAGAGCAGTGAGCCAGGAAACCGGGATGAGGTGTTCCTCAGTGTGGTGAAATTTGGTGGAAACTTTGACGAGGTCGACGGCAGCGGCGGAGAAGAGGAGAGCAGCGAGTCACCTCTGCGGGAAAAGTCCAAGGATTCCAAGAGGCCATGGGGTTAGTGCTGTGCTCGTTTACCCTGATATTGCCTCTCTCTGCCTACTGGGTGGTGTGGCACTATCATATGGTACCAATGAATATCTGTATTTAAATCCTGTTAATAATATTGTTCATTCATTGTAAATCATCTGGACTGCAGATAACAAGAAATATTACCTTTTCCCCTAAATAATAGGTGAGGTGATAAGAGGACGACATGAGATACTACACTTTACTCTTACATCTGCCTTGAGCAATTGCATTGTTCACTTGTCGACTTTTATTCAGAGACGTCGCATTGACCGTTAAGAATTTAATGTTGGACGGTGGATGCGTTTGGCCGTGGAATTTCAGCCAAAGTATAGTTTTGCTCAAGAGGATAACCAGCGTGTAAGTGTTGCGATTAAATTAGCGCATGCAGGAGCATGAGACGTGACGATGACATGGGGAGGCCGTCATCCTGCAGTGAATAAAACATGATAATGACTAGTTTTATTTCGAATGTACACGTGTTTCCCCTCTCCTTTGTTCGCTAGCAGTCGGTAAACCAGCAGTGGTGGAAAGCACGGACAAAAAGAAAGCCAAAAGGAAATTGATGAAATTCTTTCCGAAGAGGCCACCAATCCAGTCACTGAGAGACAAAGGCCTTATCAAAGGTGAGAGTTCTGTTCGTCGCGCCCTATGAGATGCGCGCGTTGTCACATCGCAGCCACCACCCCTCCATCACTGTGTGGTGGCCGAGGTCAATTGGCAAGGTGACATCGCTGATGGTCTTGCTGCTTGGTTTCTCCTTTGACGCAGAGCAAGTGTTTGGCTGTCCATTGGCAATGCTGTGTGAACGGGAAAACACCACCGTGCCCAAGTTTGTCCAACTCAGCATCGAGACTGTTGACAAAAGAGGTAAACAGCGTTTGACCGTTTCGCCTTCTTAAAAAATACCCTTCCTGAATATGCACCTTATGTATTTCAAGAGTTCCATACTGATGTGTAATTGGTCATTATGTTATTTAAAACAAAGAGAGTAGATCTTGACCTAAAGCTTTCGTGACTGCAGGAATTCATATTCGTTGGGTCTTTCGGCAAAGTCACGTAACTTTACCGAAAGACCCAAAGAATATAAAGAGAATATAATTAATGCAAGATTAAATGGTTTGGTACAATTTATGTTTATGCTGGGATTTCAGTCGCTTCATTAAAATAAGTGCTGTTTATTTACAGAATATTTGTTTGTTTGGCAGATCAGTTGGATGGGTAAACTCCACATTCTTCCAAAAACACGTATCCCCACCAAACAGGATAATGATGCACGTGCCCTTAATTTATTTTAATATAAATGCATTTTAATGCACTGAATCCATTTTTATTTGGAATAACGCTACATATCCTTCGATTTAAAGCTTTTGTGACTGCAAGGATTCATCTTCTTTGGTTCTTTCGATAAAGTCACCACGTAGAATGAGAATAAAATAATAAAATAACACAATAAAATTCTCACAACGTTTCGGCCACAACGGATGCATTAATTACCCATGCTGTGCATCCGCAAGTTACGATGTAATAAAACAATTAATTTGTATCGGTTCACCCTTCGTACAATTAGACATATGGGTTTTCTTCTTGTTAAATTTCACGGTGTTTGTTTTCAAGTATATATTATGCTTTCAATAGTCTATAGACATTCCGTGATATCTCGGTTCCATGACTAAAGTGCGCAAAACAATCAAAATACACGGTTAGATGTGTGCCGATTCCACCACTGATTGGCTTTGTAAAAATGAGTTCAAACATTTCAGAATGTGTGCATTGGCAGTCTGGTAACTAGCACGGGGCAGTGGGATCTCTACGCACTATGCTGGCATGACCGGTTTTTGCAATCATGAAGGTTGTTGTGAATGGAGTTTTTATTATTATTTATTACGCGTTTTTTTGCCCTGGAAGGACTCGTCGAGTCTCACGACATATTGGGTGATTGCTGTGCAATTCCACAGTTTAATAGCACCCCCTTATGTACGGTTTTAAGAACTTCACTTACTTCTCCCAAGGGTGAATAAGTGTGTTTAAGTCTTGCATGATGACTTGCTTTTATTTTTTTTCGTAACAGAATAAAAATAGCTTACACTTAAATTACTTCTATAGCGTTTAATTGTGATGCATTGGTTAAACAATTGGTACATTCTGTTTAGTCGCACAGCTTTTGTTGATTTATTTGGCGACGTTGCATCGCCAGTGGTGCACAAGCACAATTAACAAAACACTCAACACATTCTTCACTAACACCATTGCCTTAGGAACAAAAAAAACAATTGCCATTTTGGGAAATTGGCCTTCTTAATAGTGCTTAAATAGAGAGACCAGATGAGAGTTGCATAAACAAACTAATTCCGATGACTAGTTTTTATCTCGGCATATAGTGAACTAATTGTGGCCATTGGGTAACAGACGAGAACCCTTTGTTGATGGTTGTTAAACCAGTTCTGTCAGGACTGTTTATGGACCCACTGCCCAGTGCATGTTATCAGACTGCCAATGTGCACATTCTGAAATGTTTTAACTTCTTTTGACATCACAAAATCAGCGGTGCAAGTCAGTACGCATCGAACTGCGTATTTTGCTTGTTTTAATCTTGATTTGAAGCTTTCGTGACTGCAGGAATCCATACTCTGATTGATTGTTTTCTTTACACTAATCTGTGCCATGAACACCTATGGAAAATTGATATAATAGACCACACTTGTGACTGGTAGATCTGCATGTTGCAGCAACTAAGTTATTTCGTATATTCAAGTCATTGAAATATTGCCTGATGGAAATTACTTTACATTTATGCGTTATATGAAGGCTCAAGTTCAGCTTCAAATGTATGTGGAAATAAAGAAATATATATTATTCGCGTATGAAATGAACATTACGTTTAACACACACTTAATCTTTGATGTGCTTTAGAAATTGTATATAAATTACAGGAATGTGGTAGTCATTTTGGCACGTCAAATTATGCTGCAACACATGTTTTTTCCATTAATCAATGATGAAGGCAGCTTTATGCATTGTTTGTCACTGAGTTTCCAATTAAAAGTAGGATTAACGATCTTGACTTTTTCCAAAAGTATAGTATTTGCATGGATCGGGCAACTTATCATTTTCCAATACAGAATTGTTTATCATTAACATTCACCAGGATTCTCCCATTATTTTACAGTCGTAACCTGTAGGTCGTATGGAATCTGACATGTAGCTTATTTTCGCTAGAAAATTTTCACGGTGTTATAAATACATTCATTTGCCAAAATATAAAGGACATACACATGTGTTTATCCTTTTCACAAGTAGGCTAAGTATTTTTAAAGGCCCTCTACATTTTCATCCGATTTTACAATTTTTTATTCAAATAAATCTATTTAAAAATAAAATGAATTGGTAACCCGGATTATTAGAAAAATCAGCATCATTTACACAGCAGAACCAATGGAATCGGTCACAGTCTAGGATTGCGTCCTTTCAATGGTGGAAACACAGATGCATAGCGTGTTCATCTCCTATTCACCGGCGCAATCCGAAGCAAACTTCTCCCCACAATGGCGAGATGTTTACTACCTCCTCTGGTATACAGGAGGTCGTGGGTTCTATGTTGACCCTGACACTTGTATATTTTGAGTTTGCATGTTTTCCCTGCAGTTGTGCAGATTTTTCTCCGAGTCCTCCAGTTTTTCCCTCCACATTTCGAAACATGCATCGAGAGTATTCGGCTGCCTTAAATGTCCACGCGACAAGACACTTCATTTAGCAATCGTTTGTGGCCAAGTCTCTTCTGAGAAAGAGCTATATACCTCAGCAGCCCTTGCCTAGTAAAAATAATACAAACAAGTTTTCAAGTGCCGTTTATAGTGTAGTGGTGGGCTGATGTTCAATAACCATACCCGTACAATGCAATTTGAAAGCTTTGACATTTCTGTGTTTTTTTTTCTTTTCAGGGCTATGCATAGATGGAATCTACCGGGTTAGCGGGAACTTGGCCACGATACAGAAGCTGCGCTTCCTTGTGGATCATGGTAAGCGATGACAGATGGCGATGCCAACTCGCGAATTACATGCCACACGAGGGTAAACCTTAAATCAATCCTGAACGGCCTTTAGCTATAATATACAAGGAAATTAACAATGCGGATTACAGGCCTATGTAACTGGGTCACAAATCGTTCCAGGTTTAAGAAGTTGCCTGTTGCAGTTAATAGTGATTGGATCAGCTGTGTATGAAGTAATTTTATTTGCACATAAAGCTGTTTTTCCACTGGATTACACAAAAGGCTTTTTTAATGTCAGCTGCTGTAAGTGTCTGCAAAATAGTGATGAATAAAGCATTTAATTAAATGCACCATTACCAGATATTAAATCCTTTGAATGATCTACTTACATTATGAAAACATTACAGAAAAAATAAGCGTGGGCTTTATCAGTCATGTAAATTGACTGCAATCTGAAAAGTCTTGTTTATATTTAGTTCACCCTGCATTTTGAATAATGTGTGTTCCCCATAGCCTTCAAATGCCATACAATATGAACGTATGATTAATAACCAATTCAGCTTTTGCGAAGGACATTCTTAAAAAGCGGTGTTGTTTTTTAAATGCAAGATGTATTGGTGAGCAGGGAGGTGAATATATGATGTGGGGAGTCCGCTTAGCAATACTGTCAGACGTTTCTCATGGTGGTTGGTGGTGAGCAGGCCCGGACTGGACATAGGGCAGTCAGGGCTATTGTCCGGTGGGCCTATTCAAAACCGAGTGCTGATGGGCCGGTCTGTGTAAAAAAATTAGCACTATTTGGCAGCCCCAAAAATTATTCCGTACTGGTCCATTTGTTTTTTGGGCCAACCCAAATGGACCAATGAGATCCCATGGCAATTTGGGCCGGTGTGTTTGCAAATTCCTGGGCTGATTTTTTGTCCCAGTCCATCACTGGTGGTGAACTTAGGTTCACTACCAACTGCTCGCTTAGCTCCTCTCCACTGTATTCCCCCAATATGACCAGGGCGTTATGTGCCAAGTTCCAAGCCATTCTCTGTTCTTGTGCTTTGCAGAAGAGAAGGTGAGCTTGGATGAGAGCCACTGGGAAGACATCCACGTCATCACCGGAGCCCTCAAGATGTTCTTCCGGGAGCTGCCTGAGCCCCTCTTCCCATTCAACCAGTTTGATCCCTTCATTAGTGCCATAAGTATGCGACACGGCACCTGCACGTTCATTACAATTACCACCTCCCGAAACAAATACGTCATTCCCGGCCTTTCAGCAAATTTTAACTGCTGGTCATATTTCCATTTTCAAGAGCATCTCCGAAGGTCGCATTCATTACACGCAAAGTGCTCGCCTCAAATGCACCTTGCCTTGATGATCTCGTCAAGGAGCATAAACCATCACGCAAACTCCGGTCATCCTCGCAGCTGCTTTTGGCTAACCTTTGAACAAAGACGGTTACCGCATCGTGTGCTTTCAGATGCACTTATGTGGCCGTCTGGAATGCTCTTCCTTCCCATGTTAGGAAACCACTGGAGCTGTGTACTTTAATAAGTGTGTTGTCCTTCCCCCGCACCTCCGATTAGCACGGTTGGCTATATATGGTGCGAAAGAAGTTCATCATACATTACCATATCCTTTATAATAGCAATATAATAATCATCATATCCTTCATGCAGGAAAACCTAGTTGGGTCTAAAGACTGTCCTATTCGGGATTATCTCTCTAATTCCTTTTTCGAAAAATGTTATTTGGATTGGAGAAATACAATGTGTCTCTGTAGAACCCATGCATATGAGAGGGGATAACACTCAAAATTCATTCACGAGATGTCTCTTTGAAAATGAATATCTGAAAATGTTCACAGTGCCAGAGTGACTGTGTATGATTTAGTTGCTGTATACCTTATTATTCTATTTGTACAGAAATAATAATCAATTAATTCATGGCCTTTTGTGAATTCACTTCTGGACCAATTTTTGCGCACGCCCTGTCAGTCATGGACCCTTCTTGAAAAATAGTCCTTCCACTCAATGGGGCTCTGCTGGATATAGAGACAGGTAAATCATTAAATCTTGACTGAAAGCTTTCGTGACTGCAGGAATTCATATTCAATGGGTCTTTCGGTAAAGTCACGTCGATAGAATAATAAAATGATAAAAATGAAAATAAAGTGATTAAAAAAATATAATAAAAAAATATCACGCAACACAAGCAATCGTCATCAGGTGACGACTGCTTGTGTTGCGATTGAAGCATCGTGATATTTTATTATTATTATTTTTTTTATTATTTTTTTATTAATTTTTATTATTTTATTGTTCTATCTACGTGACTTTACCGACAGACCCAGAGAATAAGTAAATCATTATTAAATTATTGTTTCATTCGAGTCGCTTACCGTCGCCATGAAGCGGACGCGAAGAGCTCAGGTCATCGGATGTGGAAGGCTGGTGATGTTTTCTGACGAGCTTGGAAATGTTACTCAGTTTTTTGTAAAATTTAATGAGAGCACCGACTGCTACAAAGAGAACACGTGGGCACATCCAAGTGCATGGGCTTAATGAATTACATACAACAGTTAAGTAAATATAGGCTTAGAATTGCTAGTGCACATGCACATCAATTGTATTTCTTGTAACGGTCAGTAATAGCATAGTAGACTTCCTCACCATATAAGAAGTGCATCTAGAGCTTTCTACACAAGATAAGCATCGAGCTTTCCACCGTCTCCGAGCACGTGCTGCTTAATTAGCACGCTAACAGTGCTTCGGTGGTAATAATAAAAAGTTTGCATGTACAGTATTTATTTATTTAGCCTTTCTGGCTCATTTCAAATTCTGGTTTCAGTCTGACTTCATGTTGTTTTACTCTATCCAGCTTAATCAATAACTATTTGAAACCCGCCAATCCCCAAAATGTACACATTATTTCCTCTAATACATATTACAAGAAACGAACAAAAAATGAAACTAGCTTAAGCTAAGCTGTTGATAAATATTCAGACCCGTAATTTATCGGAAGCTTCACCAAGTTGAAGCTAATTTGGAAATGAATTTTTTCAATGTTTGCCACTGCGTATAATGCATGCCTGAATGAGTTTACATAGTTGTTACTCCAAACCGGGTTTCGTGTTTAATAATTGGCAGAGTCAACGGGTACTTTGTTGACTCTTGTATTTTCCTGTTGAAAATTTTATGTTACTTGAAGCATAAAATGATCGCTCTAAAGTCGTCTACTGAATATATTGTTGTTGACACTGAGACTATTTCCATTCTCTTCAACATGGCATCGAACAAACCATTTTATGAACTACAAATGTCAATATATTAAGCTGTGCCCTTACATAATGACATGACAATAACACTGCCTTAAAATAATACATATGTAACAGGCAACGTTTTGGAAAAATGGACCTTCGTAACGCAATATTTTGACATAAGATATCACTGAAATTCTATAAACATTGTGAATATATTTTTATGAATATCAGGGTTGGAACGGTGCAGTTGTTAGTACTCTGTACTTATGAACCCAGCTGGCCTGCGTTTGGTCCCTGGCTAACATCAGTGGCGAATTATATATGGACCAGTCCTGATCCTCTTCCTTTACCTACCTACACTGACCAGCATGGTAAAGTATGACTAAACATATAACAACATGACTCACATGGTTAGGGGAGGCCTGATTGGAATAGTGGGTTGACAAAAGGTTGTTCGTTATTGTAACATGATTTCTGACAGAAAAAAAACATCGGGGGACAAGGATTCTATTCTATTCTTTAGGTTTTTCGGTAAAGTCACGTAGATAGGTTCAAAGAAAATAACAAGGATTCTATCAATTACTTTAGAATTACCCTCCTGTCACGACCACAGAAGTACTTCAGTTGCAGTGCAAAGTCGAATGTATACAATTTATTTTTATGGGGCTGAGACAAGCTCGCTATGCAAAAAAACCCCTGTTATTTTTCATGCTAGAGGCCTGGCAATTATAACCTAGGGACTAACCGATACTAGCTCGTTCTGACATGGGCACTGCATAATCCCCGAGCCACTCGCCTTTAATATTTTTCCTTTGTTTATATCCCCCAGAGCTCCAAGACAGCAGGGAGAAGTTGACCAAGATTAAGGAGCAAGTGCAAAAACTCCCCAAGCCAAATAAAGACACCATGAGAGCCCTGTTTGAGCACCTGAAAAAGTAAGTTGTGCGTGTTTATTCATGTGCCTACATGATAACGATATACCCATCAAAGCGCCGATGGTACAGGCACCACCACCAGCTCTTTAGCTCTTTGAAGTGGGGTTTTTTTGACATTGCATTCCGACGGGTGCGGCGCAGGTTCCGATTCCGCTCGAGAGCCTCCTCCTCCTCCCTCCTCCTCAGCGGCGTTTCCTGAGTGCGCTCTGGCCGTATGTTTTTGTGCCTCCCAGGGTGATCGCGTGCGGCGACGCCAATCGAATGACGACGCAGAGCGTGGCCATCGTGTTCGGGCCCACGCTCCTGCGGCCCGAGAATGAGAGCAGCAGTATGGCCTTCCACCTTGTCTACCAGAACCAGATCGTGGAGTTCATACTGTCCGAGTTCACCACCGTCTTTGGCGTGTAGCCCTCGACTGTGTTTGCACTACTCGTCTGTCCAGGCGCAGCGCCACTGATCTAACTACCTGTCTATTTTATATTGTAGCCGTTCGATGTCTTCTCCTGTAAGCGTCCACAAGGTGAGTTCCAGGTAAAGCTGAATGTAAAAATGCGTCAACAAGGCCTGCATATTGCATAAGCATTGTAGCTTCATCACACACTTCATCTTTGCAATCCTGGCCTTTTCACATTAATATGAATGGTAAATTTAATGCTTCTATTAAAAAAACAATCATATTTGAATAAAGTTCGTTTAAACGAGAAATTATTTTTTTATATTTTGTTAAAATAACCTATCGTCTGTGGTATAACGACTTGCAGTGCATTTCCGCAGGGATATTGAAGGTGTGTGATTGACACCGGAGCAAATATTTGGCCTATTTATTTTGTATTCTGAAGAAAAAATAACTTGGTCAACGCCATGTACAGCGATGTCTAAACAAATAATTTCATAACGGTGCCATGCTTCGCTGGTGATATGTTTGTGAGTAAGCGCGAGAGTGCGTTATGAAGCCAAACCGCGTTTCGTCAGTGCCACGCAAAATCACGTCGTCGAGCTCTCGTGTTTCAATAAAACTGCTCGTCCGATGTATACAAATTTTAAGCGATTGTGGCTCAATTGTATATAACTCTAAAGAAACTAAACGTCCTTCAAGTGTTAAATGCGATTAAAATTCATGACCCGAGATACTCAACATTTTAAATCGCTTAAGTTTTCTTTTTTGAATCTGACAGTTCCCGACGTATTAAATGACATTCTGAAATGTGTCCTGAGCATGTAAATTTAGAAATCAGAATAACCTTAAAATGTACGAGTTATCAACACTGCAACATGCCTGATCATTGATACATTTGTATATATGCATCTTGTGTACCTAAAAGGGGCTTGTCATAGATGAAAGGCACGTGGAACTATTTTTCTGGATCCGTGTTTATGCTTTGGGATTCTTCTACACAAAATAACTTATTGTAAGACCCAACGAACTTGTATTTTCAACTGGATATTGTTAAAACACTTAAAAGGTTTGCGTTGCATTTTATCTCTACATTTTCAAAGTGCATGAAATTGTTGGCAGAGGTTGTCGAACATACAAATGGACCCATTCGTGTTTACAAAGCCACAGCCCTGTTCAAAGTTTGTTCATGATGACCATCGAACATCGTATCTTAATGCATGGGTGTCAAAGAGGCTATAATTTAAGTACGTGTGCTTTTGGATTGAATACGGTCTGACAGGAGAAACACTTGGGGTTTTATTTTCGATCGTACAGTTTTTACTTTAATTTTCTGTTTGGAGGTTGCAGCTTTCAATGCACTTACTTGCCAAAATGAGGGGACTGGTGAGTTTTGATATGTGAGCTGTATGTGTTGCTGTTGGATTACACCAATGTGGATATTGTTCAGTTTTCATTTCTGCTTTGCTGTACTTCTTGTGGCAGTAGGTCACCCCTTCTCTGTAGGTGAAACGGTTTGCGTTGAGGTGTCAGTGTTTATAGGTAGGTGTGTGTGTGTGTTTGTGCGCTTATGTTTGTGTCATTCAGAGAGTCTCTAGTGTGGTGTCTGAGTTTTGTTTAAACCTCTGTGTGCTCGTATATAACTGATTACGGTCATTACTAATATAAACGTTAACCTAGGATATACGGGAGCATTAAATACCCTTGAACGATTTGTTCACTTTTTGAGCAATAGTTAAAAAAAATGACAATCTTGTTTATGTTAAAGTAATAGTCTGTGAAATAGGCTTGCTCAGAAGGTGGATAAAAGGTCATTAAAACCATTGCTTCTCAATCATTATCGAGGGCTTGTTAGGTGAGCCTAGGTTGGTGTGCTGTGAAAGATGTTACCAAAAACCCCTGTGTGAGGCCACTTTGACAAGTAGTGTAGGAAATGTATCAATTCAGGCATGCCTCCGTCACTGTGGAGGTGTAGAGAAGGGTGCTGCATGCCACTTGTCTGTATTCTTGCCAAAAGGACTTGCAATGCAGAGTCGATCAACTACTGACCTTATATCATGCGGTTGATTTTTCAACGAACAAAGTTTGACGAGTAATTGTTTTGAGTGTTGTAGAGGTTTCTCTTGTTTTTTAAAAGAACCACTAGGTATATCCGTTTGTGTAATTTGTTAATATTGTGTTTATTATCGTCGTCGTCATCATCATGTTTGTATTTTGATGTATTGACATGTACAATTATTCAACTTAAAATACATTGCGCAAATACATTGTAACCAATTTTCGATTTTTCTGTTAATGTTGCCTACCAGACACTTAGCAGATTACTATTATCTATTGGGAGCTCTCAAATACTCATATCTTTATTGAATCAATTCTAAATGATATTGGTGGCTAAAAATATGTTTTTCAGCCACTGCAATTTCCCATCTCTTTAAACAGTCGCTCAGGTGCCAGCATTGTTTTGTATCATAGCTTTAAAATGTTCTTGCCTGACACTGCCCACATTAAGTGCTGAAATAAAAGACTGTACATTGTCACTTGCCATATCGCAGTTCTAACAAACTGAGCGTAAGTTGAACATACAGCTTCAAAGCACAAGAAAGTATGAGGTGTTGGCACATGCAAACGTTTTCCTGTCATGAGACATATATGTGGTTGTTGCCTGTGTCCATTAACAACATGAATTGTAGGCTGTGGTTTGTCGAGAGTTGTGATAATCAATTTGTCTAGCTACACTCCCTTATTATGTAACGTTTTTACCCACCCCAACTGGACATCTGTCAAAAAGAGCTTCATAGCTAATCGGATTCCTCCAATGTAATTAGATATTCTGACCTGTGGAAACAGGCACTGGGAGAATCTCGTCGGGCCCAAGCCAGTTTGTTTTCAAGCCATGCATAGTGAACCCATAACATGTTACAAACGTGCCACGGTCTATATAAGTTGACAGGGAGAGGGGGAGGGGCACGTTTACGCTAAAAAGTGCACTAATTGTTTGTTTGATAAATGTAAGAATAAAGTCAAATAATGTTGTATCCTGCCAGGTGAGCCATTGTTTGGAACACAATGGCCATGTCTTACTCTTCACCTATGACATACAGCAATGACACAAAATTAGAAGAAAAAAAACATCTACGCTAATTAAAAAAAGTTAAATGCACCACAAGCTTTATTAATTTTGAAATGTTGATGAGCTTTCATCCAAGCTTGAGATTCGTATTTGTGCAAGCTTATAATTTTATTTTTAAAAGGTAGTTTAACATAAATCAACTTCATGTTGACACTGCTTTACAACAATGACATATATATTAAATATATTAATATTGCAGGTATTGGGGCTTCAGAGCAGCCAAAGAAAAAAAATACCTCGATGTGGTAAAGTTGTGACATCACATGTTTTGAATTAAAATTTGAATATTTTGCCAATATCAGATTGAACGGAAATTAATACTTAATGTCTGCGAATGAAAATCCTTTAATGTGTCTACTAACATTTGTTTTAATGTAATCTTAATATTTGGTAGTTTTTTCAAGGTACCAACGATAATAAGTCAATCTTTTTGTCCTTGAATACTCTGAATTAAGGCTATTATCCAAAAAGTTGGCCAATCATGTATTTTCCTGATTTCAGGCCATGTTAATGACAAAGACGGCCTTATATAATTTCTGTCGGCATACAAGCACAGTCCCCTGGTCTTTTACTGGTTCATGAGCTAATGCTATTCTTAAGTCCGGCTCCTGGTCTAGTACGAGTGAGATCCTGGATTCAAAACCCAGCCTTCAACCTGAGTTTAAAGCACATTCTCGTGCACATTGAATTTCGTTGCCTCGGCCTCGTCTGCTGTCAATCATTATGCTTTATAATCAACATACACATGTTTGGTTTTATACTTCAGATCTGATGATAGCTTTGCACATATGCACCGAGTGAACTGCTTTATATTTTGCATAGCTGATATGTGTGCGCATCCTTGTGGTTGTATAAAATAGACCCAAGAAACATATCGGGCAAAGGCCTCCGGTGTTGATGCTAAGTTCTTTGCTTTCCATATGATAAGTGGCTTTGCCGTTGGTAGAAGGTACACAAATGCAACATGCTCGCTTTATGGCTTAATGCACATAGCACAATGGGTATATGATTATCATGAAACAAGATGTCCAATCTTGACAAAAGGCAACTTACTTAGACTTAAGATTATTTTCATTGCAGAGAGGAAAGAAAAACGTCATCGTGTAATTTTGTATTCATTTTTTTTTATAATCTTACGCAGCTGTTTGAAGCAACTCGAATTTATTGTTTTGAACGCACCATTAAAAGAGGCCAATGCACTAACTCTAAATCCTTCTTTGTTTTCCCAATCCAACAATTCAATCTGGCATGTGCGCTGGGAGGTGTGAAGGGCCAGAAAGTTGCCAACAAAACAGCCCAACCACACTTTACATTTTGAATCTGTATGCACTTTATGTCAGAATTTGTCAGGACACGTGAACACTGGAGCCACCTTTGATTTGCTTGTTGGTGAATGTCTTTGAGAAAATGCCTGAATCAATCTGTCGGGAGATGTTATTTCCACGTTGGTGTCGTTTTGTGCTGGATCAATGCGTTGGTGCCACGTACGTACCAACAATTTGGCTGTCTTAGCATTTTTCGTTTGTTTTGCATGCACCTCGTGATAAAAAAAGACTTGCACACTACACTGCATTAAAGCCAACAGTACTATTCATTGTGAATGCAGTAATGTCTTCATAATTACACATCCATTGAACTGTGTCAAAACATTAGCAATGTAATTGTGTGTTTGTAATACGCGTAGGATCAACATAATCTTTCACAAAAACGCATACCAATTTGGTTTCCCTACCATTTACTTTTGTTAACCGCCTAACACTGCGTGTATTTTTTTTTATGTGTATGGCCTTGTAATTATATTCTGGATTAATGTGTACAGTGTCCTAATAATGATCTGTTTTGGGGTCATCTTTTAGCAATGGTGTAAAGGAAACATTTGTGTTTGTTTTCATAGAGTTTTATCAGCGCTGTACAGAAAACTGCTACGATAGAAATAAAATGTAACTATTTAAATCTTGGACTTTTTCGTGGTGTCATTGTTATTCCTAAATAAAGGTAGTAGTGGCTTATGTGTGGTCCCTACAGGATGTGTGTGGCAGAAGGTAAGGCAATAGTGCAGTGGCAGCTCGCCATATACTTGAGCCCAGGCATGTGCGCGTCTGTGGCCGTCTGGAACGCTCTTCCTGATACTAGGAGGCCACGATATATGCACTTTTAAATCTAGATTGAAACTCATCGCTTCAGAACTGATTTTTTTGTGATTAGTTTATTTTCCTTCCCCCGCATCTCCAATTAGCACGGTTGGCTACGTACAGTGCGAATAAAGTTCAACGTTAAAAGGCTGCCCCGTGAAAGAACGTTCCAAGGCAATGCATCGTCTGATCACTGCACATGCAATGATGTGTCGCTTCAGTGATTTGAAAATAAAAAAAACGGTTATGCTCATGATTCGTGCATGTAATGGAGCGTGTGAATATTCGTCTTTTTTTTTTCCATATCGTCTATGTTGCATGCAATTGGGTCATGTGAGCTCTGCCGCAAACAGAGGTGCTATGGTCACAATAATGTCAACAATTCTAATCACGACAGTCAAATCATGACACTTAATTGAATCGGAGAGAAGGTTGGGGAAGGGATTATTGTAAAAAATGTAAACAAAGTCCACAGCACTATGAATGAACGTGTACTCTGCACGTACTATTTCGACAAGCTGCATGTCTGCAGAGGATGCCAGAACTGTTCAAAATATGGCTCGTGGGCCAAATTTGGCCGATGTACTCTTTATAACCCAGCCTGCGGAATCACAAAACACGAATGGGCCTCGGAGACGAGTTCTTCATTGCAAGGACCGTGGGCCATTGGTGGCTCCTGGTGGCCCCTGACGTGCGGCCCTCGACAGTACACAAATGGGACAACACCTCATCATCCTCATCATGCTGTCAAATTGAATGGTGTCAAATGTGTGGCGGGCCTCACACTGATGTCTTACGGGCGAAAGTGCCCCCCACCCCACCCCCCCTCTGAAAAGAATCATATTTGGAGTTTGCATGTTCTCCCAGTGGTCGCGTGGATTTTCTCTGGAGTTTCCCTCCACATTGGGAAACGTGCGTTTCCAGTGTTTGGCTGATAAAATTGTTCACGTGATAAGCCACTTCGTTGAGCTATCATTTGTGGCCAGGTTACTTATGAAAAAGAGCTATATAGCTCAGTGGGCCTTACCTGGTAAAATAAAAAATACTAACGAAATAAAATCAATGATATAAGAATACGTTATACCCTTTCTGGCAATAAAACAGGTGTGAAGATGTGAAAACACCAAACTGAAACGTATTGCAAAGAATCATGTCTGCACCCCGAGCTCTCAATGTCCTAATAGTTCATTGTCTTTGTGCTTGTTCGCCTTTTGGCGTCCTCGGGGCTAACACTGTTTGAGACTAGGCTCTAAAGAAAGCTGTCATGTGTGGACCAATTAGTTTTAAGACAATGCAAATACTACCAGAGCATGTGTTTTGTTTGCATGCTCCCCACAAGTATATGTGGTTAATGTATACATGATTCATTGCAAAAGGTTTCAGTTTGGCTTTTTAACATCTTAACACCTGTTTTATTGCCAAAAAGGACAAAACCTATTCTTATATTTTGATACTGGCAAGGGAGGTCCCATGATACAATGAACGACGACACAAACCTCCTTCCCTCTCACTAAAGTTTGTTCTGCACTTAATTTGTCTAAATTCCAGCTCTGTCCGATAGAAGGTGGGAAGTGCCGCAGCCGATGTTGTCCGCGCCCCATTAAATAAACCATCTACTGGTGTCGCGTGGTGTCGTGGAAGGTTCCAATTCAATGACACAACACTCATTGTCTAGTGCGCTACTTGGAAAAGCAATGCATTGAACGCAGTACACTACATTAGTACTGGCCGTTGAAGAGAAGCAGTTCTCTTCTGAAACTAGACAAGTAACAATTTGTATAATCCGCTTGGTTCTTTCGGTAAAGTCACGTAGAATGGAAATAAAATAATAAAAAATAAAACATAATAAAATAAAATTCTCACGACGTTTCGGCCACAACACAAGTAGCCTTCCTCAGGTGAAGAAGCAGAACTGTCGGGAAGACAGCGCTTTAGTGAACACTGCTAAGCTTGGCACCGTCTTTTAAGCTGGGTTGGAGGAGCAGAGCGCCTTGACGAAGGAGTTTACATATCAACAGAAGGATTTAGCATTGAAATAGCTGTGTTAATGTGTTGGATGAGCAGGATGTTAAAGTCAGAAATTAGCATGTAACTGGGAGATTAGCACCACGGAAAGCGACGAGCTTTGTTCAGACGGACGAATCCATCTATGTTCGGAACGGAGGAGGGGGGGGGGAGAGAATTTAGCATTGAAATAGCTGTGTTAATGTGTTGGATTAGCAGGATGTTAAAGTCAGAATGTTTGTGTGAGGGATTAGCATGTCGGTTTCTTTTTTCTTTTCAACGTTGGCACCACGGAAAGTGACGAGCTTTGTTCAGACGGACGAGTCCATCTATGTTCGGAGCGGAGGAGGAGGGACAGGGAGAAACAGCCACGATGCGCTGCTCTGTCCTGTGTTGCGTTACAACTATGCTATAAACTAGACTACTATATATTACAATGTTATACCTTCCAATCTAAACTACATTGTATAATATTGTATACACAGCCCAATGTAAGCTCTAACATTATGCATTATATTGATATGCCTCCAACTAAACTTTTTTCTACATTACACGACTATACACCGTAATATACACTGCCATAGACAAACCCACCCTTGAATTATACAATGCGTTACTATACACTGCCCTATACTTTAGACTATATAATATTAGACTTGTAATATTACACTATGTATTATTCTACCAACTCTACTGTATACCTCACTGCTGTATATTCACTATACAATTACGATACTATATATTGCCTTATTAATTATGTTAAACATTACACTGTTATACTATTTGTTATTATACAACATGCTATAAACCATACCATTGACCGTCGTGTTAAAGGTACTAAGAGGCAGTGACAGCGAATGGACTGCGGTCTGAAAGTCACCGTAAAATACAATCAATCAAGAACCGAAATGGTTGATAACGTCTTTCCAATGGTTAGTAAGCCAGAATCCATCTTCTCGGTTGAAATTGTCTCTGTGTTTGTATATGTGGATGGCCTCATGAACGAATCTCTCATGGTAGCTGGATGGCTTGCAGAGAACCTCCGTCTTGGAGAAGTCAATGTCATGTGAGCCCACTGAATTATAACAGTGATCTGCCACGGCTGAGGTGTTCGTCCTACCATGTTTCAAGTCTGCTTTATGTTCGCGGATGCGGTCCGAAATATGTCGTTTGGTTTCTCCAATGTAGCTGCTACCACAGTGGCAACTCAGTTTGTAGACGCCCGGGTACTGTATGTCTGGAACCACATCTTTTACCGACGGAACCAGATCACGGATTTTATGTACTGTGTTGAATCGGACCTGGATCTTGTGTTTATTCAGGATTTTGGAGATCTTTTTTGTGACCCCCGCAATGTAGGGTAAGGTGATGGTTTTGAATGGCTCCTCAAGAGGATTCTTCTTCATGGTTGGAGTGATGGCTTTGCAGATTGTGTAGTCGGAGTAATCATTAGCCTTGAGAGCTTGATGTACGTGCTTGAGTTCACTGGCAATGTGTTCCTGGTCCGAGATGCATTGGGCTCTATGGTATGATGAGGGAATTCTTCTGGGATGGATGGTGGTGGGAATCCGGTTTTAAGTAAGCATCCGTATGGGTAGCTTTCCTGTAGACAGAGTGGCTCATTGAACCATCAGGTCTTCTTTTAATTACGACATCCAAAAAGGGTAGCTTGCCATCTTTTTCGACTTCCATGGTAAATCTGATGGCTGGGTGTATGGAATTGATGTGGTCGAGGAATTGGTCTAGAGCAGGCCGGCCATGTGGCCAGATGACAAAAGTGTCATCCACGTACCTCTTCCATAAGGTCGGGCATAGAGTGGCAGTCTGGATGGCATCAGTCTCAGATTTTTCCATGAAAACGTTGGCTACAACCGGAGATAGGGGGAGCCCATTGGGGTGCCCTCAGTTTGTTTGTAGAAAGTTCCGTTCCAGGTGAAGTATGTGTTGGTTAAGCAGTGCCTCACAAGGGGGGGTACATCAGTATGCAGTCCTTGATGAACCAAGTCTTCAATGATTGCGATGGTGTCAGGTACAGGAACTTTGGTGAATAAGGAAACCACATCAAAACTGACAAGCAGGTCGTCTGTGGACAGGGAAATACCCTTGATTGTCGATACCAGATGAGTAGAGTTTAGTACCGCAGAGGTGTTTTTTTCCAGTAAAAGGCCGCAGGATTTCAGACAGAAAACGAGACAGTTTGTAGGTGGGGGAGTTGATAGTAGAGACTATGGGACGAAGGGGTGTATCTTCTTTATGTATCTTTGGAAGGCCATATAATCTTGGTGGCCTGGCCGCAAAAGGTTTCAACGAGAACTGTTTGGTTTGATCAATTAATGCTGTTGAATCAGAAATTATTTTGTTGGTTTTAGTGACGAGGCTGTTGATGGGGTCTCTACTTATTTTTGTGTCGTTGAGTAGTTCTTGAATTTTTTTGTTATATTCTATTTTGTCCATGATGACAGTGGCATTGTCCTTGTCGGCTGAGAGGATGACAATGTCATCCCTCTTTTTTAATTGAGATAATTCAAAGCACTCATCTTTGCTGATGTTGCTAGCTGGCATCTTAGCGTTTTTGAGGGTTGCAGCGATTTCAGATTTTGCTACGTCTGCAGCGATGTGACTCATGCCCATGAGTGCCACGTCGACACGGGCAATAATATAATTAACTGGTATGTGTCTAGGTGTGACTGCAAAGTTTAGCCCTTTAGCTAAAACGGTTTTCAGACCATCAGAAATAGAACTGTTGCTGCGATTAATTACAACTTTGTTAACGTCTAGCTTTTCGGTGTGTGGGTCCGATTTCTTGTTGGAGAGGCGGTTGA